CAAGTCGATTAATTCCATTATCTGAGTTCAATCATAACATCAAACGGAAGCTACGTGTCAAAAAAATTAAGAGCAGAATAGGCCAGGCTAAGGCTTCATTTCACAGAAGGAAGAACATTTTGTGCAGTAGGTTCCTCTCCCAGCTGCAGGCGATTTGTCTTGCGCTGGTTTTGGCAGTGCTACCGAGAGCTGACCATTCAGGAAGCAGTAGCAAACTACAGAACGTAGCATTTGCCTAGAAAAACCACAAAAGCCCAAAAAATGCTGGGGTCGGTTCTGCAACGTCCTGTAAAGAATACCCAACTAACTTTACAAAAATGTTTTTTATAATTTTCCCTAGATAAATATGATTGTTTGAACAGAAGCAGGGATAATGGCATCGAACAAAACCACCTTTAAAGGGTAAGCCACATATTTAAAAACTACATATTTAATTAATATAATTTCAGATTGGGAACTGTATTGACGTAGTGGCTAGACACTTAACCTGCCGCCACGAATATCTTTCTTTCAAATCTGCATGAAGTCTGATTCTTGTTTTCTCTCTCCAAAACCTTGGTTTCCAGGTCAGCCAATCCTTAAATGGGTGCCAGGTAATGTCCTGGGAAGTAATGATGACCATATCACCCACAGAGTTCCGATTGGTCTATTAAAATATGAGTTTAGCATCATATATCTGCTACACCACTAGCGTTAAAAAAAGGATAATTTCAAATATTTTTTTGTGACTCTCTGTTTCCATTCTTAATGATATTCTTAGTCTCATAAACTTGGCAGTTCATTTTTACATTAATTTGTTTACTTGAATTAAAGGAATAGGCATTTTTAAAATGTACCATGGTACTTCGGAATTCGAACGGCTCAAAACTTGAACAACTTGGAATCCATACAAAATTTTCCTGGTAATGTTGCCTCAGAACACTGCTTTGGAAACCGAATGCCTGGCACGTGCTGATCACACGACTGAGCTGGCAATGCAAGAGCTTCAGCACCTTTACCAGCAGCAGAAGGAAGAAACTGCAGAGAAATGGAGGAATGTCGCTGTAGCTACAGAGATACGTGCAAAATTATGGACACACAGGCAGACAATTCTTATCAGCTGTCTGTACTCTTGGCAGAGCACTTATGGTTTATAACAGTGTGCAATGACGATGGTTCACATCTCCCAACTTTACCTTTTTTATATGTATAAAAATCTCTCTCCTACACGCTATGCTGTCACTCTTCTTCTTCTTTGTGTTCATTGGCTGTAAACTCTGGTGGAAAGTTCTGGTTGTTCGTCCACCTCTAGACATTAGTCTTTTTCCAGACCTGCATGTTGCGTGCACATCCGTTTTACATATCTGACTTACTTGTATGTAGATTGTTGGTTCCTTGCCTCTGAAGCAGATGCACTTTGACTTTAAAGGAAGCCCCTAATTAGTTGACTCTTACGACATGCTTGTTGGGGAGGCAGTGGGTCTGTTCTTGTTTTCCCCACAATCGGGTCCCGGAACCAACACAGAGAGCTATACTATCACTATTGCAAACAGTATTACTACTACTACGACTCAGCCCGCATGTGGAATCACCTCATTGTCGTTGTTGAGACCGTCCACTCCCATGGCATTATTCTCTTCTTCTTATTCACAATCAAAACCCCCTTTGTAAACCACTTTGCTAAGACACAGCTAAGAACCTGAGTGAAACCAGCTGTCATTAAACACACTCTACTGTCTCTTTGTAACACAGATGTTACACTGCCTACCAACACTTACATTGTAATACGGTCAAACTAACTCATTATCACAAACTAACCGATACTACCTTAAATCAATTATGAGAAACCGTGCGGTCAAAACACAGCATGTCTTGATCCAGTCCGGTTCTCTGTGCAACTCCCCTTCAAAACCCTTCACCCGTCCATTTTGTCCAGTCAGCCGCTCACCACCAGTGTTGGTTGTGTCTTGCACCGGTAAAAGTAGCTTTACCTACTTTACTATAGGGGCTTGTTCACAAGAAGCCATGCTAACAGCACTGGTATCATTCACACCTACACAAAAGTTCAGCAGCCCTGGGAAAATATATTTGCTAAAAATAGCACTTAGGTAGGATGTTTTTGTTAAAGAAAACTAATTTTTTAATAGATATTATGACATCAAAATTTCTTATTAATCAGTGACTAAGAGACTGGGTTAAGAATTAGTCATTTAACTTAATAGTTGAAATAACAACTTTTTAGGATAGAAAGTAACAGTAACACTTATCTTATAATGAAAGAGTTAATTGAAACCATTTAACCCAGAGAACCAAGATTAGAAACTTATCTACTTGGACCACTGAGTCAGCTAAAAATCATGTTTGTTTTCTGTACATGTATGCGTCCTAAAATTGTTGATGGTTTTGACTTGCTTGTATTAGGTTCACATTTAGGAAACTGGGATCAGCTGCTTCTGATCCCACTGCTGGGCCACCTTCAACAGTCTCAAGTAAGCTGCCTGAAAATGGTTGGTTGTCAAGACCTCCAGTTGTTTCAAAGACTCCCTTGCAGACAAACCAGACAGCAGCTTTGAAGGTATATAATATGTGTGTGAGCAAAAGTGGGAGGGGGGGGGGGCATGTGTGGTAAGAGAGAGATTAATTTGTATTATTACCAGAATCGCTGTTTATTTCTTGAAACTTGAGCTGGACCAGGTCAGCCCAGCTACATATGGATATAATTAAATTTTTTTAAAGGAAATTATTGATAAACATTGAAATTAAAGGACCTTATTCAAGCCTTAGGTGCATCGACATATAGTGAGAGACCTGTATTTTTATAGATCATTTGGCACTTTATTGTTGATGTCAGCATCACAATTATTGTCTTTACTTTCTAGAAATCACCTGGTATCTATTTTAGGCTAGGTTGACCTGGGAGCCAAAGTCACTTTTAAAACAAAATCCAGCACGATATGCATTTGACCCTTAGACCTTTGGTCCGGCAGGCGAGTATCTAACCGTTGCGCTATTGCGACTCCTAAAGTTATGGTGGTGGACACGATATTGACCACATCATCCATCAAGTTCCAGTTGTCTGTAACAGTCTAGTGCCAGCATCATTTACCCAATTTGCTTATAGGCGTGTCACACTCGCCATCGCCATGGACTGTGAGTCCCATACCTCCTCATAGCACAATATAACGCTGTCGTCTGGAATAGACTGAAAGGTGCCAATCATTATATGCATTCCTCCTATGGGTTCCTGGGCTTCATTTTGGAGAAAACAAGAATAGACCCACTGCCTACCCAAGAGTACATCTGCCTGAGAGGCGAGGAACCAACAGTCTGCATGCAAATGAATCAGATCTGTGAAACAGATGTGCAACCAACACTCAGTTTCTGGAAGAGGACTAGAGTCCAGAAGTGGATGAACAACCAGAATCTTCCACCGGAGTTTATAGCCAGTGAACACAAAGAAGAAGAAGTTTATAGGCATGAACAAGTTTCTAAATATTGACATATTCATTCAAATCTTTGGCTAAGCACCAGCAAACAAACTGAAGTCAGTATTTTGAGACTGCATGTTTCCTATAGCAAGATATGGAAGGACCATCTTGCAGTAATTAAGGGAGAAACTAAGGGCTTTTGAACTGAAATGCTGTTGGAGGTTTCTTAAAATTCCTGGACCAACAAGAAGAGAAATACAGACATTCTGAAAGATTTGAATGTCAAGGAAAATTGGCTTGTAAACAGCATCATATCTCAAAAAACGAAATACTTTAACAATATGAAAAACCACAATGGATTGGAAGGATCAGTAGCAGAGGGCATCACGTCGGGTAAGATTGGCAGGGACCTATCAGGATGAAGATGATCACGGGACACAAGAGACATGTTGGGCAGGAAAGCTGATAAGGACTGAATTTCTCTCAGGTGTGCTGTGATGGAAGTGACATATTTAATGGACCTGCTACTTGACGATGAATCTCTGAGGTAAGTACTGAACATTTTTCTGCGAAAGAAAACACATAGATGAGTGACGGTCACTTCAGTTCAGCTCCTTCTTTAAAAAATTTGTTAACACATCTGCAACAGTATTTGCTTATACAGTAGATTATTTACTTGTCGGCCATAGGTTTTCTTCAGCCTCTTCATGTTCACCGGCTGTAAACTTTGGCGGAAAGTTCAGGTTGTTCATCCACTTCTGGAATTCAGTCCTGTTCCAAAATATGAGTTTTGCCTGCACATCCTTTTTACAGATCTGGCTTTTTTGTATAGAGACTGTTGGTTCCTTGCCTCAGTATCTCTCATAAATTACATCATTTTCTTCTGTCCTTCATCTCTCAAAAGAGCTTGGGTTTAACCAGCCCTTTTTAAAATTGGTCATGACTGAATGACAGATTTAATCTCACACTACCCTCCTTCACCTCCTCCTACAAAATGCATGGTTCATTACCATGTTACCCTTGTTTATATCTCCTCCTTGTGTGGGTGTCGGGCCCCATTTTGAGCTGCGAAAGAACAGGACCCTTGCTCCTTACAAATTATTTTGTAGAAGGTGACTGATTAAGGCGTTTGCTAAAATCAGATGTGTTGAAGAAATCATAGCATTGCTGAAAACAGCATGCCAATCACCTTTTTAAGGGAAATGTGCATTTCCTTATGGAAATGTTAACTTCAGACGCAGAAGTGCATTTCCTTTATGGCACCTGTTAACTTCAGATGCAGAAATGCATTACCTTGTGGCACTTGTTAACATGAAACCGCAGAATTGCATAACCTTATGGCACCTGTTAATTTCAAACACAGAAATGTGTTACCTTGTGGCACCTGTTAACTTCAAACGCAGAAATGCATTACCTTGTGGTACCAGTTAACTTCAACCGCAGAAATGCGTTACTTGTGGCACCAGTTAACTTCAAATGCAGAAATTCACTTCTCTTATGCACCTCTTTATTCCACTAAAACATTTAGCATATAACAAGTATTTTTTTGTTGTTGTTGTTGTAAATTAACTGTTTTTATTTTGTTTTTAACAGCAGAATGTAAATGTCCAGGCTTCGATCAAGTCATTTGTCAATAAGAAACAAGTGGCAGTAGCAGCTGTAATGCCTCAGAGGTCAGTTTTATGCTTGATTTTCAAAAATGATTACTGTGAAGTGCATAAACTAGTGAATTTTCAAGCTTGTTTATCAATTAGTAGTTTTTTTTTTTAATGTCAGTATCTGTGGCTTAAACGTTGTGAACACGCTTCATAATTCTGTAGTGGCAAATTCAGTCTCAGTTGTAGGTGATTGGGCAGCAGACCGCCTTCCATTGGCTTAAACAATGGTATTGAGAGCCGGCTGTTCATGCATTTTTGTCCATGTGGGTACACACACTTTTACATGCACACATGTTAACACAGACGCACACACTGTTTTGACTTTAGTCTGCCGTCCTTCGGAAATAGTTTTATATTGTCCATCTAGCAAACTATACATAAGGTTGATTTAGCCTCATGAAGTAATTATTAGAAATCTAGATAGAAGCTGGCAGAAGAAGAGAGCTGGCCATCCTACATATCAACTCTTTCAGTTCTAAGCAACAGTCACTGTGTAAGACATTAATTGGCTCTTTTACTTAATTCTCTACCATTGCAAATTTATTCTGTTCTTTTTTCTTTTTTTCCTGAAGTCCATACCGCGTGGCATTAGGTAGTCATGTCTTATCCTCAACATTCTGTCTCAGGTATTTTCAGTCAATTTTGACACAGATGATCTTTCAAGCCATAATGTCAGACTGTTCAGCATCTTCTCTCTCGGCCCTTCTCCCCTCCACCTTTCCCACCATCACAACGTACTCCAGTTTTCTCTTTCTTATGATATGACCAAACATTGTAGATTGTCTCCTCCTTCATGTATATTTGAAAATGATATCAGAAATTATGTCACTTCATATCCCCTTGACAGCGATATAAGAAATTCCATCACTTCATATCTCGTATGAAATAACAGTTTCCATCACTTTGTATCCCTTTGTCAGGGATGTAAAAAATTATGACACTTCTTATCCACTCTGACTAGGAAGGCTAATCCAGAAAAACAGATGCCTGCAGAAGTTGGATGGTCAGCTGAAAGGCACAAATATGTAACTGTGATGTAAAGGGAGCACAGTGCATTTACATCTTCAGATGAATACAGAAGACTAAGATATTCAGTATGATAGTGAAATAATAATTTCCATCTCTTCATTTCCATTATGGTAATATTAGAATTTCCATCTTTTGAAATCTACTATGATAATGATATAAGAATTTCCATCTCTTCATATTCACTGTGACAGTGATATAAGCATTTCTGTCATTTCATATCATTATGATAGTGATATAAGATGATATAAAAAATCCTGTCACTTCTTACCCTTATGACATTGATATTGGACATACCCTCTCATGTTAATGTGTCAGTGATATAAGAAATCCTCTTACTTCATATCCTTATCATAGTGATATAAGAAATTCTGTCACTTCCTATCCCTTGTGACAGTGGTGTAAGATGTTCTGTCACTTCATATTCGTATCCCAGAATCTACCCTTCAGATTAGCCTCATTATCTGTATGTGACAAGATGTAAGTAAATGTAAGTGAAACTTTCAACAGTTGTCTTGTTTGATTCCAGATCAAGTCCTGCTGTCCATCCCATACAGAAATTAGCTGTGACCCCTAGGCATTCAGATCCTTACCCAGTGGAAATTATAGAGGATGATGATGATGATTTTGAGACACCAGTGTTTTCACAAAGTAATTTGGGCTGTGGTGTTTTAGTGAACTAAGTTTATATTGTATAAATTTGTTTATTCACACACTTGAACATTATTTTTTGTTAATGTAACAAAATGTGAACTGTTTTTATACTATGCTCATGGATAGCTCTTGACACATCATAACAAATAAATTGATTACATGACTTCCGGTGTAAACAGCCACAATGGCGGTACGCTTTTTCGTCCGTTGAGGCGAAAAGCGCAAATTAGCTATTTTCGCTCACGTATAATGTGAAAGTTTCATCGGAATGGGGTCTGAACCGTGCAATGGAGTACATGCACGTGAGTTTAGACTTCCCTCAGGGTGTATTCGACGTCCGATGGCGACTATCTACCAATTCAAAACAACCCGTAGACGGACAAGGAGAACGCGAACAGGCAAGCACGGTGGCGCCTGCAGGAAGCGGCTGAAATGTGAGAGACTCAGTTTAAAGTATGTTCGTGTTCTCTACTGGAACTGCGCTTCGTTTAGTCAACGCCGACCCATTTTTGAGAAGCTCCTCTACAGCAACGACATTGTTGTCCTACAGGGAAACACACCTCGGTGACGAGATCATTAAAATTGCGGGCTTCCAATCCTTCTACAATAGACGGCACCTCGGACAGCTCATTCTTGTTCGTGACCACATACCGGTGTCTGAGGTGGACATGTCTAAGTGGAATAATGACGACCTACAAGTACACGCAGTCAGAGTGATGGCCCGGCCCAGTTTGTGATTGTCAATGTGTACGCCTGCAATGGAAAGGTGGATACAGCGAAATGGCAGAGTTTGCTCCAGACGGAGGAAAAGAAAGTCCTTTACTGCGGAGATTTCAACGCCAGAGGACACCAGTGGGGCAATGTAATCACTAATAAACAGGGGGAAGACCTGGAGGATGCCCTAGTGTCTGCCAATCTAGTATGCTTAAAACGACGGAAAGGTTACCCGAATGGCAACACGACAAGGGGATTCTGACAGCGTAATTGACCTGGCCCTAGTGTCTCCCTCCATTGCATCAGGATGCAGGTGGAGCACACTGGATACCACGACAGTGATCACTTTCCTTGCGTCGTCCTGGTAGAGAAGAGCAACAACAAAGGTCATGTAATCAATGTGCCTGCTTTTATATATGACCGTACAAGGCAAGATGCCATTAGCAAAATCCGACGACGTAAAACAAGAGCAGATCGCAGACGGCGGGAGAGATGGGTCCAGCCACCATGGTGGAATGAAGTAGTCAACATGGCGTGGTTAGAAAAAAGGAAAGCTGTCAAGGCATGGCAAAAGGCAAGGAAAATTGATCCGTCACTTTCTGAACGCCTGATCAGTCTGAAAGATGAGGTCAACAAGCAGACAGTGGCTTTCAAGTTAATTGCGAAGGAAGCTAAGACAGCGAAATGGATAGAATTCTGCAAGAGCGTTTGCTCCGAGGGATCTCTTGTGACATTCTGGCGCCTTCAACGGAGCATGCACGGCGCCGCACGACCAAGGGGTATCCCTGATTTTCAGGGTACAGACCTGATATGGCAGAGAACTGATGCTGATAAAGGAAAAACCCTTCTGGCGCGCTACTTGGAGCAAACTGACCAAAAAGACGAAGCTACAAGAATAGGGGTTAAGATGAAACTGTCGATGCTGTGCGAGAACACTGTGCTAGGCACTGATCTCACAATCACTGCAGATACCTTAAGAACTTGCCTCAAGAAATCGCGCAGCACTGCTCCAGGCCCTGACGGCATCCGATACAACGACATGCTGATGATGTCGAATGCTGATTTGAAAAGCGTGGCAAAGGAATTCAATATCAGCATCCAGAGTGGCCAGATACAAGAGGAATGGCTCCATAGTTATTTGTTCCCACTACCAAAGCCTAATAAAGACCACTCGAAGATCTGCGGCTACAGAATCATCTCGATGCAGAATACTGTTGGCAAACTTTTGGAAAAAATTGTCGCACAAATATTGACCACCTACTTGGAACTACATGATAAGTTCCCACCAACACTTGGAGGGTACAGGTTAAATGAAGAGACATGGTTCAATGCTGCAGTTTTCGCCTACGATGTGTACGAGGGATTTCAGATTAAAGAAGAGACATGTGCGGCAGTGTTGGACTTAGAAGATGCCTACAATAAAGTACCATACGATTATTTAATGCAATTACTGCTTAAAACTAGAAGTTAATCCTATTCTGATCCGCTGGATTGCTGCGGTCCTGTTCCAGAGAAAGATTGTACTAAGATGTGGTAGCTGGTCCTCAGAACCGCAAACGATATGTCCAGGCTTGCCACAGGGATCACCGCTATCACCAGTCTTATTTAACGTTTTATACGGTGATGATCACTGAGCAGCAGTTGAATGGAAAGGGGAGGACTTTGTCATTTGCTGATGACATTTTGATTTATCGACGAGGGCGTGATAGACAGGAGATCGCCAGCACTATGCACAAAGAACTCGATCGAATTGCGCCTGGTGTGATGGTTCCAATGGCCTATGTCAATCCTTCGAAGGCATCAGTGTCATGGTTCTCTTTGAACAATCACATTGTCAAGTCGGACTTACCAGAAGTGAAAATGCCTGATAATGTATTGATCAGAACCAACGTTATGACACGTTTTCTCGGGGTGAGGTTCGATCGCAGCTTGTCATTCAGGGAACACGTTGACTATGTGATAACAAAAGCACGCAAAGGTCTATCTGCAATGAGGATTATGGCTGCTTCCAACATTGAGCAAAGACTACTAATACTTCTATTCTACGGTCTGGTCCTTTCCCCCATTGAATACGCTCTGGCCATCCTCACTGTCAGTGCTACCCAGATTGAACGACTCGAAAGGTGCAAAATGAAGCCATGCGCATTATTTTGGGATGTACTAGAGACACATCCTGTGGAGCAATGAGGTATCTACTTGACTTTCCAACAATGAACCAAAGGATCAGGATGTGGAGGGCTCGGGCATATCTCAAAATATGTGCTGATAAGAAACACCCACTGCATCAAGAGCTTTTTAGTGAAAAGGGCGACAGACTGAAGAGGGGGAAATCGTGGCTAGGTCGGGCAGAAGATGTTATTAGGCAATATGCAGCCTAACCGACATCATACCTGGTGCAGAATGGATACCTGTGCCTCAGGCGTTTATTTGTACATTTTCCTGTATTGTCACACTCAACAGGCGATGTAGAGAAGAGAATCCTGTTGCTGTTAATGCAGAGGTCAACGCTCTCATCGGTGAAAATTCAGACGAAGCAGATGCAATAATCTATACAGACGGATCCGTTATACGCCAAAGAAGAAGCGCATGGGGCATTTACAGCACGCTCAGCGGGCAGAACAGTCAAAGAAGACAACGGCGCCTTCTCCATGACAACCAGCAGCATGACGATGGAGGTGATGGCAGTGACACAAGCGCTTGCCTGGCTTGAAACACAAAAATACACCCGTGTGTGTATACTCAGTGATTCAATGAGTATGATCCGGGAGGGTTCAGGAGGTTCAGTGCGAAGACAATGGCTTGAAATCATTACAGAAGTCCACTGTCCGTGAGTCACCTTTATTTTGTTTCCGGGATACGCAGCGTCGATGGAATGAAAGAGCTGACAGGTTGGCTGATCCGCTATCACTAACCGACGGTCAGCCTATGGATCATGCTGATATTATCAATGCCCTCAGAGAAATGGGAAGGATAGACGACTTTGGGTGGCAGTGAATCCACATCACTCGCCAGAATGGCAGACTTGGGAATTAAGATCGGCACAGCGAAAAACGAGACGCACACCAGCTACGCCAGAAGACTTGTTAATCAACATAGAACTGGTACTATTAGCCATCGGACGTTGGGGTTCATACTGAGGGGAGGATCTGAGCACCTATGGACATGTCCGGAGTGCAATGAGGATAACCCAACTAACTAACTAACTAACTAACTAACTAACTAACTAACAAATAACATTTAAATGTCAGCTGCTATCAGCATTCAACATTTTTGTTTAAAAATGTGATGCCATTTTTCTTGTTCTTTTTTTTTTCTTCTTCTTCTTTTTCTTCTTTTTCTTCTTCTTCTTCTTCCTTCTCCTTCTTCCTCCTTCTTCCTCCTTCCCCTCCTCCTCCTCGTTCTTTTTCTTCTTCTTCTTCCTTTTCCTTCTTCTTTATCTCCTTCTCCTTCTTCTTCCTTCCTTCTCATTTTTCCTCCTCCTTCTTCCTCCTTCTATGTATGTGTCTGTGTGGTTTTACGTTTGTGTGCGTCGGTGTGTGTGTTTGTATGGATCTTTTTGTGCGGCTATGTGTTTGTGTGTATATCTGTTTGTGTCTGTATGTGTCTGGGTTGTATGCGTGTGTGTTTTAGAGCATGTGACTGTGTGTATGTGTGTGTGTATGTGTGTGCATGTTCGTATGTATGTGGATGTATGTGTAAGTGAGTGAATGGGTTTGCGTGTGTATGTGGGTGTGTGTGTTCGCGCGCAAGCGTGCACACATATTTTACCACCCATGCTTTTTTGTTTTTGACTTGATATTCATAATATTCATATTATTACATGAACATAACATGCTTTATTGATGAGATACAACTGCTGTGTGAAAGATGGGAGTTTGGAAGGGCCGAATGTAAGACAGGCCTGCGTGCCTAATTTGTAACCCTTTGAAAATTAAGTTCGTGTGTTCATTCCTCCCTCCTCTCCTCCTCGTCCTTCTTCTTCTATTTCTGCTGCTGTCTTTTATCTCTCAGTGGAACAGGCTCTAAACCAACTATTCAAGCTGAAGAAGCTTACACTAAATTTCTACATTGTTACAAAAATTCGTTTTTCTTATTCTTTTATTGGCCACACCTGAAATGAGTATCAGATAATGTCCTGCAAAAAAAAGGTACCTTTTTGTGATTTTGACATCTCCCATAGAGTGCCGATTGGTCTACAAAAATATGGATCTAGCCCATATGCCCAGTGTGCCAGAAGCGTGAAAAGGGGCCTTACCTACGTTTATGTAAGGGTTGGGTTGATTCTAATTACCTTTGCTTACGTTTATGTAAAAAATAGGTGGGTTTTAATTTTATATTCTTCCATTAATGTGTGGTTATAAATACCTTTACATTTATTTAAGTGTTGGGTGGGTTATGATTACCTTTACTTACTTTTGTGTAAGGGTTAGGTGGGTTATAATTACCTTTACTTACTTTTGTGTAAGGAATGGGTGGGTTATAATTACGTTTACTCACTCTTTTGCAAGAGACGGGTGGGTTATAATTTCCTTTGCTTACTTTTATGTAAGGGATGGGTGGGTTAAAATTACTTTTACTCACTGTATTGCAAGAGATGGGTGGGTTATAATTTCCTTTACTTTTGTGTAAGGGATGGGTGGGTTTTAATTACTTTTACTCACTTTAATGCAAGAAATGGGTACGTTATAATTTCCGTTTCTTACGTTTGTGCAAGGGATGGGTGGGTTATAATTACCTTTACTTATGTTTATGTATGGAATGGGTGAGTTATAATGTTATAACCTTTTCTTATGTTTATGTAAGGGATGGTTGGGTTATAATTACCTTTACTTACAAATATGTAAGGGACGAGTGGGTTATAATTACCTTTACTTACTTTTATTTAAGGGATGGATGAGTTATAATTACCTTTACTTAAATTTATGAAAGAGATTGGTGGGTTATAGTTACCTTTACTTGTATTTATGTAGGGGATAGGTGTATTATAATTACCGGTTATTACTTTTATGTAAGAAACGAGTGCATTATAATTACCTTTTCTTACATTTGTGTAAGGGATGGGTGGGTTATAATTACCTTTACTTACATTTATGTAAGGAATGGGTGGGTATAATGACCTTTACTTATGTTTATGTAGGAGATGGGTGGGTTATAATTACCCTTTCTTATGTAATAAATAAGTGCGTTATAATTACCTTTACTTACATTGATGTAAGGGATGGGTGGGTTATAACTATCTTTACTTTCTTTCATGTAAAGGATGAGTGGGTTAAAATTACATTTACTCACATTTATTAGTGACCCTAGGACTCTTTTTACAAACTGCTTACATAGCAAGAGTTTGCATATCCTTTCTCTTACACAATTGTTGATTTCTGGTGCAATGTTGAAGGCCGTATCCATTTACTTTGTGTGTAATTTTTTCATATGTGGTCATTCAGAGACACCAAATAAATTAACAAGACAAGAGGTCTCTACAACAAAGCCTGAAAGTGTGAAAAAGGTAAGTAATAATGAAATCATTTAATGTTACATTTTTCAAAGCCTCTAAGTGGGAACAAGTCACCACTATTAGTTAAATAATTGTTACATGCCTCGCTGTTATCGTTTCATAATTTTATCATAAGTTTAGACTGTTATTATGTCTAGACACAAAAAACACAACTTTTTGTGTTTTGAGCACCCACAATCCCTAAGAAATTTAGAGTCGTATTCCTAAGGAATAAACCCAGTTTGATAGTGTGGGTTGAAGTTTTTAAAAAGATGTGGACGAAAGTATAGAAAAAATGTGGGACAAAAGGATATAAATTATTGGGGGGCTTGAATTAGTTCAGCAAGGTATGAGGAAAATATACATTATTCACCGGAAAAAGGAAAGGGAGGGGGGGGGGGGAAGTGGGCTGAAATTATTTAGTAACATATGGGAAAAAGGATATTTATTCTTTAACAAGATGGGGGTGAAAGACTTGTGTTTTAGCTAAATAATAATAAAATTTATGGTAACATGTGTACAGGGGTACAACCATATCAACATAAATGATAGTTGTTGAGTTGATCTTGTCTATATTTTATGCATTACATTTTTTTTTTTCAACAGAAAAGGGAAAGTTTTAACAGTGTTCCAAAAGTGATTTCTGATACATCAAACATGACAGCCAAGGTACAGACTTGTTTTTAAATTTTCTCCGCCTGGGATTGCATTCTGTAGGTTTAACACCTCGTGGATGAGAATCAAACATTTCTCATAAACTCTATTAAACCATTTAACACCTTTATATTGTGAAATCCTATGTTTAGTAATTAATTTGCAGTTCAGTATGGGTGGGGTATGGAGCTGTGCAAATGCACACTTTTATAACCTCGTACAAGAAACATTCTGTAAACAGCAAAGGTCGTGAAATCCCATTTTTGACTGTGCTTGTGTTCTAATAGGTTTGATAGTGAAGAACCTTCATGATCTAGATCCAAAGTTTGACAGCTGAGACACACTAGACTTAATATCATTGTAGAGTGTAGACACTGTTATTACATGACACTGAGACCACTCTCAGCAGCAACAAGAACAATGTAAGGCAGCTTACAACAGTTGCATCAGATCTTTCTTTGGGTATATCTTCTTTTTCTTCTTCTGCTCCTCCTCCTCATTCTTCTTCTTTTATTTCTTCTTCTTCTCCTCCTCCTTCTCCTCCTTTGCAATCACCGGCTGTAAACTCCAGTGGAAAGTTTTGGTTTTTGCATCCACTTCTGGACGTTGGTCTACTTTCAGAACCTGAGTTGTTGCTTTTGCATACAGATTAGCAATCCCTGATGGTGTTCACAACTTTATGTGTAAACCTCTAAATCCCTTTCCTTCCCAGGTAGGATGCGATCACTACTTGACAGACATGAAACATTTATATATATCTTAGTGTTCTTGTTTTGTGTTCTTGATGACATGAACACATTTATATTAGCATTATGCTGATTAAGTAATGTAACCTTCAAACCTTCTAGGGACAGTCAGATGATGATGATGATGTGCTGTTTAAACCAAAGAGACGTAGAACAAACCCTGTTGTAGAGAGCGATGCTGAAGGTGAAATCATTGACCAAGATGCCAAGACTGTGACAGATCTGCAGAATACAGCACTGTCAGGTAATATTGTGGGTTGAATTCTTTAAACACACTCTCAAACAATAAAGTGTATCTGGTGTTTTCCAACTTCAAGGTAAAGCTTTATGATACACAGAGAGATGTGGACTACATGATAGCTTACCTCAAGGCTACTAGCCTCCTGATACCTTTTCTGACAGAAGGATCAAAGAAGGGATACATATTGGCTTGGGTTGAATCTGGGTTTGTTGTTTTCAGCCAGGACATCTTGGGGAAATTCAGTCTCCCTAAATGAATGCTGTAAAATTGCCTGCATTTATCTATGAAGGAAAGGAGATCAGTAAAGGACCCGATGTTCTCTTTTGCATTAAAATTTTTCAGCAGGATGAGACAGCCAGTCTCACAATAACCCATTTTAACTCTTTCAGTGCCAGAAGATTTTGAAGCTGATGTCTAAAAAAAGGAGCATAACCACACTGAAAAAGCAGGAGTTTTTACTTTTAAAGAGGCAACACTTAGAATGCTGCATATTCAAATTTCTTGCCAGATTTTCTTAGTATGCTTAGGCCAAATGCAAATGATATAGAAACCATGCATTGTTTGATATGCAGAGGCAGTCGTGGCTCTCACATTGTGCGTTGACTGGTTCAGAAAGAGTTAACTGCCACTTACAACAGTATAGTATAAGGGGGCTTCAGATAAAAAGCTTAATTTGTGTGGGAATATATTCTGAAAAAGTAAAGAATAAATATATCATTTTCGGAGAAGTGCAAGTTCAGCGCTTGGATTCCTCTAGTAAAAGAAAAATTTTCTTGGTTGCATGTGTAATTCTTTTTGTGTGCACAACCTGCTGGACTTTTTTTCATTGGATTGAAAAGTCTTTCCTCCCAATGACTCTTTGAATTGTCCAAACAGGTTTAAATCACTTGGGGCTAGGTCTGGTAAATTGTTTCAACGGTTGCACAGGTAGTATGTTGTTGAACATTGTCATGTTGCAAAAAGACAGTTTTACTCATAAGTCTATGTAGTTTGAATTTGATTGCGGGTCTGAGATCTGTGTATGTATCACTGGTGACAGTTCTCCCTCTTCATTCAGCAATGAATTTCTATAGGTTTTATCCTTCACTGGTTAAAAAAAAAAAAACATAAAGAAAGCTGCACCTCTTTGCTGCATGCCAAAAATGGGCAGCCATCTTTAAACATTTATTATGGCATCACCGTGTTTGTCTGCACTGTTGTGTCAGATGCTTAACACTCCTGCCATCCTTAGCAACAGTATTGACAGGTTAAAAGACAATGGTGTGGTTATTTTAATTTCTTTCACACTTTAAAGTTATTACATTTAAAACATTTGTGTACAGTATGGATGATAGGTTCACTGTTATTCATTGCTACCCACAAGGCAGTTGTATAGTAGTGCCCTTCTACAGAAGTCATTTACTTCCTCCAGATGTGTACTGATAGACTGTGTTATTTAATGCTTACTTTAATGCCACTGATCATGTTTATATCTTTGATTTTTTTACTGTCCTTTTGCTTTTGTAGAGGCAGCCGGCACCTGCAGTAGACATGTGTATAATATTGTCTCAATCCTTGCAGGTTCACCAGGAATTTCAGATATTTGCCAGCATCCGCTTTTGCAAAGGAAAGACCTTACTTTGGTGGGTACATTTAAGTAACCTTATATATTCTGACAGAGTCTTTGCATGCCAGCCTGGGGGCCCTAGGTTTGAATCCCCATCAAGGCAGATTTTCAAAATTTACCAGAGCTCCCATGTTGACCCATCCTAAAATAGGTATCAAGAAATATCCTTGGCGGAAAGACCTGGTTGTTCATCCATTTTTGAACTTTGCTCCAGGACTTGAGTTTTGCATGTGCATCCATTTTACAGATCTTGCTTATTTGCATGCAGACTGCTGGTTCCTTGTGTCTCAGGCAGATGCACTCCGACTTTGAAGGAAACACCCAGTTAGTTGACTCTTACGACATGCTTGTTGGGGAGGCAGTGGGTCTGTTCTTCCCCCCCCCCCCCCCCCCCCCCTCCCCACAATGGGACCCCGGAACTCACATTGGAAGTAATTTGATTAAAAATATTACTCTTTGCCTTGGTCTTATAAATAAGTGTTTGCATGCTGTGTCCCATCGATCATTTAGGTTATGAAAGAATAGAAAACTGCAACAAAGAAAGAAGAAGTAACTTGTTTTAACATGTTTAAAAACAGTCTTTACATCTTTGTATGTGTAAAGAATTCCCATACTAATGTGGTCAGTTACAACTAAATTATAAGTTGTTTTCCTTGTCTTGGTCTTATAATTAACTGTTTGCATGTTGTGTTCCATCGATCTTCTAGGTTATGGACGGAGAATATAAAAAAAAAGACTGCAACAAAGAAAGAAAGATGTCATGTCCCATTGATCTTCTAGGTTATGTAAGGAAAATAAAAAAGCTGCAAGAACAACAAACAAAAAAAGAAGGATGTTATGTCCCATCGATCTTCTAGGTTATGGAAGACTGCAACAAAGAAAGAGGGATGTTAGATGTCTTATCGATCTTCTAGGTTATGGATGACCGCAGCAAAGAAAGAGGGATGTTAGATGTCTCATCGATTTTCTAAGTTATGGATGACTGCAACAAAGAAAGAGGGATGTTATGTCCCATTGATCTTCTAGGTTATGGAAGACTGCAACAAAGAAAGAAGGATGTTAGATGTCTCGTCGATCTTGTAGGTTATGAAAGGAGCTCAGAAGACCTGCAACACAGAAAGAAGGAAGTTATATGTACAACAGTCACAAAATTGTTGAATATATATTTTCATACATTATAACTTTACTGAGCATTGGTTCCAATGTGTTTCAGCTGAGTGAGCCGGATGTTTTGACACTGAGAGACGTTCTGCTGCAGGTAGTTGATGAAGTCTGTGACATCATCTGCCAGATCAAAATGGGAGATTTGATGAAGTTTGTTTCTTCAGACTATGAACGTCTTCAGAAGCTTCTCACTGTTCGGTTTGTATATGTTATTTTTATTTTTCATTACAGAAATGTTTGGTTTGATTTTGTTTCATCAATTAGTTTGTTCTTTCTGAGTGACAGAAAAATGTTTTAGCGTACAGACTACTCAGCTGAAGTAAATTATTTTCATATTCAAATGGTTAATGGAAATTTTAGTGACCGTGGCGGGTTAAGTTAAGAGTAAAGACTTCAATAAGTAATATGTGTGTTACATACATATAGAGAGGGAGAAATTCTATACAGTGACAAATTTAAAAAAAAGCTTTTTAAAAAGTATTTTTTTGCAAAAGGAATTTTGCTGTAATTTTCTTTGGGAGCTGTGGAAATGCAGCTACTGGGCTTGTGTATACCTGGTAGTAAGATGTTTGATTCCCCTTTAAGGCGATTTTCTTTCTTGGCCTGGCTTCCAGGTTTGTCTTGTCTAAAATTGGTAGAAAGAAATTTCATGAGAAATAAAGTTGGCTAAAAAAATACTGAGCACATGGCCTATTGCATGCTTGTAATTTACACACACAAAAATGGTACTAGCACATTATACGTAATATATCTCATGATTTGAAAAGGTGTACTATTTACTTGTACGTAGACTTTATAATTTTGTTAAATTTTCAAATTTGTTTATTCTTAGGAAGCAAATCAAAGATGTTGGCATTGTCGATGTGGATAAAGCAAGCAAAAGTACAAGCAGACAAGTTTCAAACACCAGCTTCACTTTTTCTGAGTCAAGAAAAGATGCACACGATAGAAAAAAGTTTGGAGCTGAGGCCCACTAGTACTCCCTTGTCTTCTCAAGGTTCCAGTTCAGAAAGACATTTAGGGTCGAGGGCAGTAACAAAACCACCAGGCAACTATCTGACCGCTGCAACACCTGTTCCTTGTGGTGACAGTTTTTTTGCGGCAGAGAACAGCGTCAGTCAGCTTCACAGAAGACATAACACAGGGGACAGAAACACTGTTAGTAATTCTGGTAGTCAGAGTAGTGCAACAAGGCTGAGTTGTGGAGCTGACAACAAAAATAACAATTCAGCTAGTAACATGAGGAGGAATGTACCAACACAGTCTTCAGATACAATAAATTATAATGAAAAAGCACACTGTTCTTATGAAACAAATACTACATTTGGTCTGTATGCTAAAAATAATACTGAAGTGAGCAGTAGTAAATTAGCCAACAGTCTTGATAGTTCTTGGCAGAGTGTCGAAAGTATGGAAGATAGAGACTTTGCTGACGAAATGGAAGCAGCATTAGCATATGCAGACTTTGATGATGATGGAGAAAGTGTTAACAAAAGCTACACTCACAAAGGTGATTCCAGCTCTTCTAAAACCCTGGTTAAAAATGTTCAAAGGAGCGTTGGAGACAAAACATGCAGCATTGAGTCAAGCAGTAAAAAGCAGCTGACAGATCAAACAAGAAGTGTTGTGAGCTCATTTTGTTCAAATGTTGATGTGGAAGATGTCTCTATGTACAATGAGATAGCATCGTCAGATGATGAAGACTATGAAAGGAACTGGGACTGTCGGTCAGGAGCAGCAGCAGCCTCATCCTCAGAACAAGGGGACAAAACATTTGAAGGTAAACTATTGTTTCAGTAAAGGTTTCAAACAAAACATTTGAAAGTAAACTATTGTTTCAGTAAAGGTTTCAAACAAAACAATTGAAGGTAAACTATTGTTTCAGTAAAGGTTTCAAAAAAAACATTTGAAGGTAAACTATTGTTTCAGTAAAGGTTTCAAACAAAACATTTGAAAGTAAACTATTGTTCAGTCAGTTTCAAACAAAACATTTGAAGGTAAACTATTGTTTCAGTAAAGGTTTCAAACAAAACATTTGAAGGTAAACTATTGTTTCAGTAAAGGTTTCAAACAAAACATTTGAAGGTAAACTATTGTTTCAGTAAAGGTTTCAAACAAAACATTTGAAGGTAAACTATTGTTTCAGTAAAGGTTTCAAACAAAACATTTGAAAGTAAACTATTGTTTCAGTAAAGGTTTCAAAAAAAAACATTTGAAGGTAAACTATTGTTTCAGTAAAGGTTTCAAACAAAACATTTGAAGGTAAACTATTGTTTCAGTAAAGGTTTCAAACAAAACATTTGAAGGTAAACTATTGTTTCAGTAAAGGTTTCAAACAAAACATTTGAAGGTAAACTATTGTTTCAGTAAAGGTTTCAAACAAAACATTTGAAGGTAAACTATTGTTTCAGTAAAGGTTTCAAACAAAACATTTGAAGGTAAACTGTATTGTTTCAGTAAAGATTTTAAACAAAACATTTGAAGGTAAATTATATTGTTTTAGTAAAGTTTTAAATTAGGGCTGTACCGAATATTTGCTTCGTATTCGCTTCGGGGCCGAATAGTGGACCCAATAACTATTCGGTATTCGGCCGAATAGTGGTTACCTCACAACCGTTTCTGGATTGGTGGAAAAAAAACATCAAGACTTTGCACCTTGGTTTATACTGTGAAGCGTTATCTTTGTGCACCACCTACGAGCGTACTAAGTGCCCCTTTATTTCCATCTTGCATGTGTTGCGAGTATAGTGTTTTTAGGTGTGTTGCTGTAGAAACAAAATGCAACACTTAAAAATGTAAGAGGGGCAGAAAAGCAAGTGTTCTAGTGTTGTCGGCTTGATTTCTTTGAGTGGAGTGTCCTCTTCGTTGATTCTTTGAAGTAACGGGATTTCGTCATCATTTATGGGTGTCGTATCTGCTCTTTCGTCGTCTCGTGGAAACGGCAGCGGCTGAATGTTTTGATCGACGTTCGGTTTCTTGATTGTCCTTGTTGTTTGATCTTCTGGCGTTGGCCGCCCGGCGTCTGGTTTCGTGAGCTCGCGGGGGGGCTGTGCGACTTGTAAGGACGGCATTGTTTTCTTCGTCAGCGTTATTTTTTGTTTTTGATGTTTTGCCTTGCGGGTTTTCATTTTGACTCTGTATTTGTCGTATTTTCCTGTTTAGTACAGCTGGAAATACCTTCAGTGAGACAAAAAGCTGGCCTAATGCTGACAACATGGAATGAAGGTTTTTCATGGAGGTGTGTCAGCACACGAACTAATACGTGCTGCAGGAGATCGCAGATTGTGGCGAGGCATAATCGCCCATGCCAGCCGGCAAAGCGCATGATGATGATGATTCACTATTCGTATTCGGCCGAATAGTTGGTCCAGCTATTCGTATTCGGCCCTATTTTAAACAAAACATTTGGAGGTAAATTGTATTTTTTCAGTGAAGGTTTTAAACAACACATTTGAAGGTAAATTGTAATGTTTCGGTAACGGTTTTAAAAACAATTTGTGAAGGGTCCTTTGTACACCAGTGGCTTATCTGGCATATTGTGCTAGATTCATATTATTGTAGACCAATTGGCGCTTGATTGGTTAGGTGGTTGACATTATGCTGGACCTTTTTACTTCCCAGGCGGTTACTTGGTACTCGTTTTAAGCTGGGTCGACCTGGCAGCTGACCTTTTGGGTCGGCAGGCGAGCATTTATCAATTTGTTTGTTTAGTGAGAGCATACGCATTTGGCATATTTGTGAGCAATATTTCCACATTTTAGATTTTCATCTACATTAAAGGGGTACATCATCTTTAGACAACTTTTGGATAATGCCCGGGTCATGAAGGTGTTTGAAGTGATAAGAGCTTATGTGTCGGCCTCAGTGCATGCAAGTTGTGAGAAATAATTCACATCTTAGTTGTATGTGCAGATTAAATGTAAAGATAATCCCATGGTATATACTCTGCTTTGTCTTGATTCAATTTTTCTAAAATATTTTCTGCACTATTTCTTCTTCTTCTTTGCGTTCACCGGCTGTACATTCTGGCGTAAAGTTCTGGTTGTTCGTCCACTTCTGGACTGCAGTCCTGTTCCAGAACCTGAGTGTTGCATGTGCATCAGTTTTACAGATCTGATTCTCTTGAATGCAGACTGCTGGTTCCTTGCCTCTCAGGCAGATGCACTCCGACTTCAAAGGAAGCTCCCCAGTTAGTCGACTCTTACGACATGCTTTTGGGGAGGCAGTGGGTCTATTCTTGTTTTCCCCACAATAGGGCCCCGGAACCCACACAGGGGTCTGCACTATTTAAAAACAACAGCATTTTTTTCCTTTTCATTGGCTGCATAATAGTGTATGACTTACATCTGTATGTTGTCACCGGAAAGCTATTTATTTATTTAAAAAATAATCTGTTTACTTGTTTGCTCAATAGAGTACACAGCAGTGTTCAGCTCTGCAGATCGAGATGATGGGGCGTCTTCAGAGTTTGTTGGTATGAAGTTTGACCATAGTCCTGTGCTGCAGAACATGTTCCGCCAGGTGTTTGGACTGAAAGAGTTCAGACACAATCAGTTACCAGCCATCAATGCTGCATTGTTAGGGCATGACTGTTTCATCCTCATGCCAACAGGTAATGTTTGTTCTTGTGTCACTGAAGTGTTTAAAGGACAAAGAATCGACTTGATTTTTATTCTGTTTTTTTTTTTCTCAAATAGAGTGGTCTCCCTCTACAGAGCAGTTACTTGATCATGAGCATGTTGCACAATATCCATTCCCAAAACACATGCCAGCCTAAGGGTGCAGTCCAAAATCACACCCACATTCTTCAGAACATTAGGCAAATGTTTAACCATTTCATCATGGAGACCCTCCCTGAATTGTTACTTAAAGATATGCCTTATTGGATGTTTTCCATATTCCAGTAATTTTTTCTTCTTAAATAGTTCTTCTAATCTTCTTGAGTCTGTAAAGTATTTTGCCACAAGTACAGTCCGTTACTTGTGTTCAACTTCTGTGGATCATGATTCAGGCCTTTTTTGCATGTCCCCTTATCTGGTTCAATGGATGTATTTAACAGGCAATCTGCAGTGCAGACGGAAAATTTTGAAAACTCACAAAGCAATGGATAACTGTTAATGACTGCACTCAGTGTTGTTAAAATTATTATAGCAGAGAAGTTTTCTTTGTGGCCCGTAGCCTCCTTTTGGACCCGTAGTCCTCTTTGGGGTCTGTAGACCTCTTTTGGGGCAAAACGGAATAGACCCACTACTCCCTAACAAGCCTGTCACTAAAAAAAACAGTTTGCTCAAATAGGATGTGATGGGCCAGAAGGCACACATATCGCTGCCTAGCTGTAAACCACAACACAATGTGCTATCCATCCTTTTAAGGGTGAACACAGAAGAAGAATGTACCAGACATGTTACAGTTATGTTTTTATTCTGTCTGAGCAGTTCATCCACTCTGATTATTTATGGCAACACAGCATGTTCCAGGGCTGTGTGCTCTCATGCATATTTGTGCAAAGACAACGTAATAAAAGGTAGACAGTATACAATGGGAAACTGCCCAGAAACTTTCTTCTCTTGCCAGTGTCTGCTTTAGGCCACTTTGCGTCACAGATTATCAGATGAAATGGGAGCGCTCAGTTGCTATGTTTACTGTGATGTTATGAAGCCTTGGGCTGTCACTGACCCCATCAATCCATCTTCTTCTGGGTCTTCCTGCCTCTTGATGTTTTAGTTTACATGTTATATGGTGTTGTTAGATTCATTCTCACTAGGTGGCCAAACCATTTTAGTCATTAAAACTGAATGTGAGCATTTACATAACATAATCAGCAAGTAACTTTTTGTTTTTCATGAACTAAGACTTTTATCTAAGGAAATTAAAAAAAAATCATGTAATATTTTGAATATATTTAATAAAACAGAATGCGAAGCAATGACACCCAAAAGAAGACATGCTTCTTTTTAATATAGTAACAACAAATTAAGTGATTTGGACATGTGTATAAGATAAAACCTGACCAGTTAGCACTGTGAGTATTTAAAGAAAAATTTCGGTTTTGAGCATAAGGCCAGCCAAATTACAAAAGCAACAGCAAGAGCGGAAACCACAACAAATAGAAAGCAACAATATTGAACACAATCCAAAATCAAATGAGATTGAGACCAGAAAACGTCACCACAAATATAGCTGAAAGGAAAGTGAGCAGAAATGTGAGCGGACCTAGCTGAAAGTAGTCAACGAAAGAGAATTTGAATTTGAATTTTGAGCATAAGGTAGATGAAGAAATCTTTGTACAGACAACCTTATGGGTATTCCAAACAAGGCAACACATGTAGTCTTGGATGCAAATTTAGCTTCCTTCAACCATTGCTTGTCAGCAATTGTCAAGTAGGAAAAGATGTCATCCACTTGCGACCAACTTGTTGATAATTTGTCTATGCCATCATCATCATTATGTGCCCTACCCGGTGGCTTTAGTGCTCACGTCTCTTCGCAGATCTTGGTCCTTGGTATTTTGAATCAGTTCCACTGAAGATATTCCACCATGCTATCGTTTCAGGCTGTTAAGCATTGTCTGTCTTGGTCTGCCTCTGCATTTTCTACCATTGATCTTTCCAGTGTTCTCCAATGTGTAAGTTATAGAAAAGCATTCAATTAATAAGTGTTCTCACAATTTTTCAGGAGGTGGCAAGAGTTTGTGTTACCAGCTGCCAGCACTGGTTGCAAATGGTCTTTCTGTGATCATATCTCCTCTAAAAGCCCTAATACAAGACCAGACCCAGCGACTGTTGTCCTTAGATGTAAGTATCTCATCAGTGTGGGGAGAAGACATGTTCATCAGCTTGAAAATGTGGGTAGAAGACATATCTGTCAGTTTGACAGTGTGAATAGAGGATATATCCATTGGTTTGATACTGTGTCTAGAAGACATATCACTAGGTTTGATAGTGCAAAGACATATCACTAGGTTTGACAGTGTGTCTAGAAGACATATCCCTAGGTTTGATACTGTGTCTAGAAGACATATCACTAGGTTTGACAGTGTGTCTAGAAGACATATCCCTAGGTTTGATACTGTGTCTAGAAGACATATCCCTAGGTTTGATACTGTGTCTAGAAGACATATCCCTAGGTTTGATACTGTGTCTAGAAGACATATCCCTAGATTTTACAGTGTGTCTAGAAGACATATCCCTAGGTTTGATACTGTGTCTAGAAAACATATCCCCAGGTTTTACAGTATGTCTAGAAGACATATCCCTAGGTTTGATACTGTGTCTAGAAGACATATCCCTAGGTTTGATACTGTGTCTAGAAGACATATCACTAGGTTTGATAGTGCAAAGACATATCCATTGGTTTGATACTGTGTCTAGAAGACATATCACTAGGTTTGATAGTGCAAAGACATATCCATTGGTTTGATACTGTGTCTAGAAGACATATCCCTAGGTTTGATACTGTGTCTAGAAGACATATCCCTAGGTTTTACAGTGTGTCTAGAAGACATATCCCTAGGTTTTACAGTGAGTCTAGAAGACATATCCCTAGGTTTTACAGTGTGTCTAGAAGACATATCCCTAGGTTTGACAGTGTGTCTAGAAAACATATCCCTAGGTTTTACAGTGTGTCTAGAAGACATATCCCTAGGTTTTACAGTGTGTCTAGAAGACATATCCCTAGGTTTGATACTGTGTCTAGAAAACATATCCCTAGGTTTGACAGTGTGTCTAGAAAACATATCCCTAGGTTTTACAGTGTGTCTAGAAGACATCCATTGGTTTGACTGCGTCTAAAAGACCTATCCATTGGTTTGACAGTGCATCTAAACGACATAACCATTGGTTTGACATGTGTGTAAAAGACCTATCCATTTGTTTGATAATGCGTCTAAAAGACATATTCATTTGTTTGACTGTGTGGTTAGAAGACATATCCATCAGTTTGACAGTGTGCCTAGATGACATATCCATAGGTTTGACAGTGTGTCTAAAAGACATATCCATTATTTGATAATATGTCTGGAAGACATATCCATTTGTTTGACAGTGTGTCTTAAAGACATGTCCATCATGTGACTGTGTGTGTTGAAGGCATATCCATAAGTTAGACAGTGTGTGTAGAGGGCATATCCATTGGTTAGACAATATATGTAGAGGACTTATCAGTTTGCAAGTCTGTGTAAAATACACATATCCATTGGTCTGCCAGTCTGTGTAGAATACACATATCCATTGGTCTGCCAGTCTGTCTAGAATACACATATCCATCAGTTTGCCAGCCTGTGTAGAACACACACATCCATCAGTCTACCAGTCTGTCTAGAAAACACATATCCATCGGTTTACTAGTCTGTCTAGAAAATGCATATACTTCGGTTTGCCAGCCTGTGTAGAATACACATATCCATCAGTTTACCAGTCTGTCTAGAGAACATATCCATCGGTTTACCAGTCTGTGTAGGATACACATATCCATCGGTTTGTCAGTCTGTGTAGAATACACATATCCATCAATTTGCTAGTCTGTGTAGAATACACACATCAACTGGTTTGCTAGTCTGTGTAGAATACACATATCCATCGGTTTGCTAGTCTGTGTAGAATACACATATCCATCGGTGTGCCAGTCTGTGTAGAATATACATATCCATCGGTTTTCCACTTCGTAGAATACACATATCTATCGGTTTGCCGGTATGTGTAGAATACGCATATCCATCATTTTGGCAGTCTGTGTAGAATACATATCTATTGGTTTGACTGTAGAAGACACAAATAAATCATGCAGTGTGATCTCCATATTAATAGTCGGCTCTGTAACATTTTCTAATCCACATGTTTACTGTGCATGCTGACAGGTTTCTCTCGCTGAGGCTGCTTATGTTATCCACTTACATGTAATGAAATAACCTGACTTCAGTAAAGCTATGTCTGTGATAACTGAACCTTGTAAGGCTGACATATACTTTATGATTTCCTAATGTTTTCTACCTACATGTAACATTACATTGAATCTAAGATAATCTTTTTTTTTTAAATTTTGCCACAGCTTGTTTTATAGTCATGTAGGTCCATGTCCATGATAAGCCAGATAGAACTACAGGGATTGACAGAAACAGTGCTGGTAAAAAGTGGTAAGATGGCTCTCGGCTTGAATAATGGGAAGACAAGTAATGGTTATAATGATACTACACACTTCCTGTGGCCCGAAATCTCTCCAGAATTCTTGAGATAGAAAAGTGTGACACTGCAAACCGTCTAGCAGCTTCACATATTGATAAATCACTTTTGACCCACACGATAGTCCTCATTAATTGTAAGGTGTCTCAAGACTTCTTGTCAATGGCATGACTGTTGCAAGTGATGAAACAGCCCAAGGTCTGCTGATAGTTAAACAAATTAATCGGGAACTCTCTTCACAAACAGTTGCCATTGCCCATGTAATTACTGTCCGCATGATTACTTTACCTGTTTGGTTGTACAGAAATTTAAAAAAAAAAAACAGACTTAAATGTGAATATATGGTCATCAAACCAAATTGTGCGTGATCACCATTGTTGTTGGTGAGTTGTTTTCGTGCTTCTCATGCATAGAGGACTCGTAGGATGAAATTGCACCCATTTTTACAAAAAGCTTCTTTATTTATTCTTTCTTTGCGCTTATATAAAAGTGTATTGAAAAGAATATGAGTGACCCTTGACTTTTGATGAGAAGTATGTAATGTTGTATTCTGTAGATACCAGCAACTCATTTGTCCAGTGATGGGGAGACAGGGCAGAACCAGTCAGTTTATAATGGCCTGTATCAGCGAGAGCCAGCCTACAAATTGTTATATGTTACTCCAGAAAAGGTTATGCTATGTCAAGTCTTGTTGGTTGTTTATGTCTCCGGCTGTCTTTTGTTGCTCCTGTACCATATTGTCACATGTTAATGCAAGGGCATGGCACAATGGTGGCTGATTAGACTTGTTTGAGCCTAGAAACATCTGGTGACAGCTGTTAACATCCGGGTTAGTCTAGATCAGTGGTTTTGAACCTGGAGGGGGGGGGGGCAGAAGAAGGAAATTTTGGAAGGGAAGGCGTCATTTGAAACTTTGATTTATGTGGATTTTTTTCCAAGTTCTAGTTAATAGTGCATGGAATTTTTATTTTTGTCATCCTATTTTTCATCACTTTTTTAAAGTTGGGAGTGGGAGTCTTGCCATATATTTTAGGCTTGGGAGAGGGGGGAGGCACCAGTTTAAAAATTTTGAAAATCCTTGTCTAGATATATTACACTGGGTATCATAGGAAAATAAGTTTGCCATTGCAGTTTCATGTGTCAGTTGGATGTAGAAAATATGGACTTAACATCAAATCCCCAGTTAATTTTTAACTCTTTTGCCTTTTCAGTTTCATCGAAACAGTTGCCTCTTCTTTTGTCATTTAGCACCAAACTTAAGCAAGAATCTCAACTATCTATACTGAATTTAAAAAAAAAAAATATTGATTGAATACCTTGTTCAGTATATGTGTGTGAGCACTTAAGAGTCTGTGTAGGTGTGTATGACTGTGTATATATGATGTGTGTATGCATTATTGATAACACGTAATTGTGGTCTGAAAGAAGAATGCTTGGAAGAGTCGAAAGTAAGACGGGCCTGTGTGTCCAATTTGTAACCCTTTGAAAATGAAGTTCGTTCACTCATTCATTGGAGTATTCCATACTCTTTTAACAGTATCCTGCTTTATCTCTATTATTAGGTACATTTTTTATCTTGTTCAATATTAGTTGATTCTCACATGGTGAACGTGAAGAAGAAGAAGAAGAAGAAGATATCCTATTCAGTCTTCATTATTAGTCAACTGATATCCTGCTTAGTTTATTTTATTTGACTGATGGACTGTGCAAATCTTCATGCCACGTTGACTCATAACATTTCCAGTCTATTACTTTTTGACAATTATCAGTCAAGTTTTGTTGTCTGATGTCCTCCCTGCTCAGGATATGAACTCCCAGCTGTGCTACAGTCTGCGTACTGTGCCAGGAATATCCTGTGATATCAGAGGGCTGCGTGGTCTCGAGGCATGATGTCTGTCTCGAGTGCTAGAGGTTCCAGGTTCAATCCCTTGTAAGGGCTGGGATTTTTTTCAGTGGACTTGGACTTCTAGTATTTCCCCTGGTCTCTGGGTAATGAGATCGGACGCCCTTGTGGACTGTAACACACATAAAAATCCCTTAGCAGTTGGAAATCAATTCCCGGGCAAAATTTTGAGTTAAAAATCTAGCCAAAGTATTTCAGGATCCTAGCCGGTGCTACAGAGCCTGTACACTGTGCTGAGCTTCTTCGGACTCAGACTTGAGTTGGAAGAAAGAACAGAGCACTAATGGTTTACTAGCCGTGTGCCATGATGTTGATCCGTTCAGACTTCAAACTTTACCCTGCGATCTATTAAAGGAGACTGCAGCACTTGCAGAGAGTACAGTGAAAGTTATCCTTTCACCAAAACCAGAAACTCTGTTCTACAGTGCTAGTTTATGTGCTAACTTCGGAGGTGATTTAAAAATTGTTACATGTATGGATACAAAGTCGAATTTTCCTAACTTCAAATAGCAGTAAAAGATATCACTTCAAATTTAGACTGAAATTGTTCATTGATTATTTTTTCCCCCACTGCATTTCTTTTCAACAGCTGTCGGCCAGTGAGAAATTGTTGAGTTGTCTAGATAGTCTATACAGACGCCAGCAGCTTAACCGTTTTGTCATTGATGAGGCTCATTGCGTCAGTCAGGTTTGTACTTGAGGTTCCTGTATTATTGTTCAAAATATACTTCTTCATGTGGTGGGGCAGTCAACTGTGACAGAAAATCCGGGTTGTTTGTCTACTTCTGGACATTGGTCTTGTTCCAAGACATGAGTTTTGTGTGCAGGCTGCTGGTCCCTCACCTAGCAGGCAGATGCACTATGACTTCAAAGAAAAAAATTTAGCCTATCAGTGTTGGTATCTCTGCATCACTGATATCATTCATTTTGCAAAATTGTGTATATCCATGTGTATGTATACAAATTATTTACAAATCAAGTATATGTCCAGTATAACTCTGGAAAAAGTCAAAAATACCTTGAAAATCTGGAGAAATAGTTTATGATTTTAGCTGCTGACCTTGATGAAATGTGAAACAAATAAAACAGAAACAAAAATTACAAATAAAATATGTTAGTCTGCAGGTCATCAAAGAACAACAAATGAAGTGGTTTGGACAACTAACAAGAATGCCCTGGTATATCTGCCGCCAGCCACACTAAAACGTTACAACGGGTATAGAGCGAGTGGAAGACCTCGGAAAATATGGAGTGATGGCATTAAGAACAGCCTTACAGAAATAAACATCAGTCTTAATAGTGCTCTTGACAGAGCTCATCAACGAACATTACATCTCCCCCCGACACTTCGATGAGGTACAAGGTGGAAGAGAATAAGAACAAGTCTGCAATTACTGACCAAGTTTAAAAAAAAAAAATTAGAAATACTATCTTTATAACATTATTTATTCAACTTGAATATAACAAGTTTTTTAATTTTTTTTAAATTTCTCAAACCAGTGGGGCCATGACTTTCGCCCTGACTACAAAAGATTAAATGTGCTGCGGCAGCGGTTTCCTGGCGTTCCAGTGATGGCTCTGACAGCAACGGCCACACCTCGTGTTCGTAAAGACATTGTCCACCAGCTGGGCATGATCAGCCCTAAATGGTAATTTGTTTAAACTGTGATGTGACCTAATTCTTCCCCTTTTATGGAAATCTAGTTACCTAATCTGTTTTGTGAAAGGTGTTTGCATGAAACAAGTATTTGACAAATGTGAGTACAATCAGGTTTCAGTCACAGAAAGTGTGTCAGGTTTAGAATTTATGTTTCTCATTCATGAATATTTCAGTAATGTCAACACCCTCTCCCCCTCAAAGTTTTTATTTTTATTTTTTAATTTGTTGCTGTATTTGATAGAGCTGTGTGGGAAAGGATATCCGATAGTGGACAGTGCCATACAGCAAATGCTAACACATATACTTATCACAGCATCACACTTACTAGAAGTGAAGTAAGAAGTGTCTGTTCTGCAGTTTGTACCTAAAGAAGAACTTGTGGGTGGTCATCCCAGTGCTCTTAAACCTCTAAACTAGACATCATATGTTGTTGTATTTTCTGCTAATTTGAATAATTCACCTAATATATTTCAAAGGTTTATGCAGAGCTTCAACAGACCAAACCTCAAGTATAGTGTTCAGAACAAGAAGCCCTCCAATGCCACGACAGACGTCATTGACATTATCAAGAAACGCTTTCCCAGGGACAGTGGCATTGTTTATTGTTTGTCCAGGTAGATATCTTTCTGTAGACTTTTCTTTGCGTGGTACAGTAAAGACATTTCAGAAAAGGACCCTTGCTGGTGTATGGTTCATATTTTATGTATCCCTGTCTGGGTTCCTGGGGTCCACTGGGGGTAGACACACTGCCCCCCTAATGAGCATGTCCTAAAAACCATCTAATTGAATGGGTGGAGGAGGGAGTGTTTCCTTTAAAGTCGGAGAAGCCACTAAGTCTGATTTTAATGCTGTAGGAAACAGTTTGTAACTCTTTTGCGTTATGAATAATGAAAAAATATGGGCCATGAACCCATAGGAATTTCAGGAAAATCCTTTAAAAAAAACAAATAGGGCTAGACCTAGATTTTATAGACTGTAGGCACAAGATGGATGATGTGGTCAGCAGGGTCGACCTGGGAGCCATGTTTTTAAAAAAAAATTTTTAATATCCAGTTCCGTCAGGGAGCAAACCCACAACCTTCCGATCCACGGCGACTCCCCACCATATTATGCAGGTCACTAATAAATGTTAAACAAATGTATTATCTACACTGTAAATTGTCCCCTGAAATATGTAAAGTTATATAAATGGGCTGTCACTTAACATGAACAGGGTGAAACAAATGGAATACATTCCCTGTGTCATGAAGAAAAAAAAATGTAACTGGTGACTCATGTTGTGACCCCAACCTCTTTCAATGAGGCTTTTAAGAAAATTCATCATCCACTTGGCTTTCAGAAAGCCATGAGTTCATTAGAAAAAAAGAACACAGTGCAACTCACGAAGTCGAGCGCAGAAGACCTTAATTGGCGATTGAATCGTGCATCTTAAACTTTGAGACATGTTAGTCTTAGCTAAAGGAGTGTCAGGTTGTGTTTTGTTGATGCTCTAACTGGCAATCACATGTGTTCTATATTACAGGATGTGACCGGCTTTAACAATCTTGAAATATCTAGCACTGGCCCTAACCCCAAACTCCCACCACTACTCCCTACAGGCTCAGCCTGCGTCCCACGAGAGACTGTAAGTGCTGTGGTTTCAGAAGTCTTAACTTTTGTGGTGGCACCATCAGATGGTTCTTTGAACAGCGTCTGCTTGAGGGTAGGATGCCATGTTGCTGCAGAAAAACAATGCTCTCGTCGGCCGTCAGGGCTGACAACTGAAGTAAATTCATTTTGTACTTCAAGTCCGAGAATGCCAGAATACATGCAGTTGCTCAGAACAGCGAGTAAAACACAGCATTTATCTGTCTATCTGCCAACATATACATAGTAGAATACAACCTGATTTGCTTTACTTTAGAATCAGGTCTCAAAGGTTAAGATGCATGAATAAATGGCCAATCACGGTCTACCTGGGCCCCACTTTGTTACTAGTACCAAAAACACCCCTAAATGGAATTTTTTTTAACTTATGTATACTGTATGTTCTATGCTAAATCATCACCAGGTTGCATGCTACATTCTTTTTGCAGTTGTAACATTCTAGTGCCGCAATGCATACCCCACTGCTTTCTTAGTTTGTAGAGGGGAAGTTTTCCCTTTGAAGGGTGTGTGTCACACTCAGTTATGCAACTCTCTAACTCAGAGGTTAATGTACCTGAGTGCATCATTTAGTACCAAATATAACACAAACTATGGCTAGAAAGCTCCATGCAGGAAATGGAAAAGACACACACAAATATAACTGAATGTTTTGATCTTCGTAATGGAATACTAAATACAACATATCCATTGATAGATTACTGATACACTATGTTAATTAGCTCTTTAGCTGTCTGTCTCAGTTACTTTGTGACCACTTCATTTGTTCGGAATAAAAGCTTACTGAGATCCTGTCTACTACTGCTTGGAGTTCAATGTTAGTGCTGGTATCACCACTGCAGTTATGAGTACAGCATGCATTGTATTAATGTTTTTTTTTCTGTCGACAGATTCCTATTTCTTGTAAGAGGCTGTAACCCCTAGGTAGGATTGTGCTCCCTCACCATTTTATCAGGTAGAAAGTATGCTAGCCTTTGTGATTTCCAACTCTTCTGGGATATTAAACATGTGCATGAAGCACACAGGGTCTCCTCTTTCCTCTCATACACAAGCAGTCTAAGTATCTGATGTGACTACCAAGAAGGCCAGGGGCTGTATCACATCATTAGAAACCAGTGACTTGTAAAAATTCCCATTATTATGCCAGATCAGGCTTAATTGTTAGCCCAGAGCTGCTCACCAGAGTTTCCTGTAGATAATTATAATGAGCTACATTTTTTAAAATTCAATTTCTCTCAGAAAGGAATGTGACACAGTAGCTGCTGAGTTGAGAAAGGCTGGTGTACAAGCAGAACCCTATCATGCCGGTCTTGATGATGGCACCAGGGCTAAAGTCCAGGACAGATGGTTAAATGATGACAAATGCAAGGTATGTTTCGTTTATGCCTTTTATTTCTGAACATTACTTGCTTTATTTGCTGTAGTTCTTTTCATTTTCAGTTGCTCAAACTTAGTGCCACATATCACATGGTTATTTTTTGTACTACTGAAACTTAGTCACAAATATCCCATAGTTTTTTGGGGTTTTTGTTTTAATTTTTATTATTGAAACTTAATCACACATATCCCATAGTTTCTTTTTCTTGTATTATTCAGACTTATCACACATGTCTCATAGTTTTTTTTTTCCCTTTTGTTTGTTTTGTTCTGCTCAGACTAATCACACGTCTCATAATTGTCTTTGTATTCCTCAAGAGTTATCTAACATCACATCATTTTTCCTGTATTTCTCTGACCTATCTCACATGTCCCCTAGGTCATAAGAAGCAACTAATTAACGGCTTGCTAAAATCAGATTTGTTGAACCAAAAGGCACAGATATCACATCCTAGCTGTAAACCACAATACAGTACCAACTGCCATTTTAAGGGTGAATGGAAAAGATGAAGAATTAGTCTGAAGTTGTTGCATCATATAAGTCAGCTGTCCCTTGCTGCGAGCAAGTCACCTCAACTCTTTCATACATCTGAGCTCCGTGTTATTAAATCTCTATGAGATGATGTTATTTCTTGATCTTCTGATTGCCACTGGATTTACAATAATAAAAGACACATACAATTAGTAATTTTAAATATCTCAGTTACCATGATAATTTCTTTTTCTTCATCGTTTGTGCACGTGACTAGCCATTATTTATAGTGCATGATGTGGATTTGTTGCAGGAGTTTTTCATAAGTTTCAGTCAACCAGCATTTAGCCTGCTGACAACAGAGGTGAGGTGAAGGTTGTCTTGTACACAGCACAACAGCCCCAACTTTCCCTCCTGCCTGTGACCAAAATCAGTACACCACCCATAATGAATTGATAGATGAAAGAGTGTTCAACATGGTCAAGAGACTAACAGTTAGTTGCATATCTTTACAGCCACCACAAACCAGCCCCTGCATTTGTTGGCTGTGTGTGGCTTTACTAGGCAATTTTACTTTCACTAGTTGGAATCAATGCAAAGCAGTCTTCTCTCAGATTTTCTGCAGCTGAATCATTCCATTATTTATGAAGTATGTCAGAATTGTGAAACTGTGTTCATAACTCCTATGCTACAGCTACTGACACAGCGGTGTTATGAGGGTTTTTTCCAACCATGTTGCATTATCATCCACATTATCTTTTGTAATAGTATAAAAAAATTTTGCCAGTCAAAACAAATCAAAACTGAACATCGAAATGGTCTGTGTACATTGATTTCCTTGTTTACAGGTGATTTGTGCTACAATTGCTTTTGGCATGGGCATAGACAAAGCGGATGTCAGATTTGTCATACACTACTCACTGCCGAAATCTGTGGAGGGTTACTATCAAGAGGCTGGTCGAGCAGGCAGAGATGGCCTTCTCTCGTACTGTCTCCTGCTCTATACTTATCAGGATGTGAAGAGGCTGAGGAGGATTATTGAATGTGAGTACACCTTCTCCTTGACTTACAGCCTATGCAACTTAAACTATCTGCACCTACCACCACAAAAACAGTAGAGTAAAATATGTATTTTTCTCACACTAAAATTGTATGTTCATAGACTGCATTTTTGTGTCTATGTACACTTTGTATAACCTATTTTAATGAAAATAGTTTTGAAAGAAATATAAATTTGACTTACCAGCAATATGATTTATGGTCAGTTCAGCTTACAACTTGTTAGTCCGAGTGGAATCTGGTCGTAAGTCAGTGAGACCCTGTATTGGATTAGAAGTAGCACAGTGGCTGGACGCTTATCTGCTGGCCAGAGGGGCTGGGGTTCAAATCTGCATTAAGGCAGCTTTTTTTGGGGGGGAGGGGGGGTGTCAAAATTGACCTTGGCTTCCAGGTCTGCCCATCAAAATATAAGTACCAGATAATGTAATGAGAAGTAAAGGTAGCCAGCTTAATGTTGACCATACCAACTATCGAGTTCCAGTTGGTCTATAAAAATAAAGGTCTAGCACACTCTATGGTCAATGCGCCAAAGGCATGAAAAGTGTTCTTTGTTTTGTTTGTGAAAAAACTAACACTGCTTGCTACCTTGAGTTAATTATTACTTTTGGAACTTTGGAATTTGTATGTTTTTTTTTTTGTCTTTCGATTTAAAAAAAAAAAAAGTCTGAAATAGTTGTGTTTGTGCACATCATGTGCTTTCCCTCCCTTCCTTATGTTGTGGTTTACGGCTAGGCTGCTGTTCATCCAGTTTGAGCAAAATCTTTATTAGTTGCCTGTAATAAATGTTTGTCAAGAGGCTGTGGGTCTATTCAACTAGCCCCAAAAACCCACATACGGAGATATCCTCAGCGAACATCTGTGTGTTTTACATTTTTTATTAAAAAAAAAATTTATGTTGTATTGAATAATTCAGGAAGAAAATGTAATTAATACTGTCACTACTGTCTGTATGTACCACTTTTTAGGGTGGTGTAGGGTGGTGAGCCTGAGGAATAAGAGTGCTAGTGCTGTCGCCACAGACTGTACAGGTTATCAAGTTTAATTTTGTCTCCGACAGAAAAACTCCATAGATTTTGGTCGTCTTTTACAGCAGCAAAGGCTAGGAGTGAGAAAATGGATCTGCAACAAGGAAAATGTATGAGTAAGGAGACAAACTAAAAAATTAAGCAGCAGCCTGAACAGAACAGCACACGAAACATGAGTATTGAACTGTCTGGAGTTGGATTTTTTTCTTTTTCTTTACAACAGGCCTGTGTCTTAAAGCACTGAACCAGAAATACATTGAAGCCAGTGAATACCCACAGGACGGACACTTGAACCAGAAACCTACCTTTTGTCCTACCAATTATTACAAGAGATGAAATGGCACCTCCAGACTAGAACACTGGCACTATATACCCAGTATGCTTAAGGCGGGAAAATTAATAATGAAAACAAATCTTGTACATTAATCAAAGCTTTCCAATTTAAAAAAAAAAAAAGAAACTATAATTGATTGTTAAAATTTGTGTATTTACATGGTATTGCCATGTTTCAGCTGTTTTTTGTTTGTTTTTACAGAGCATTTTATTGTGTAAATGTTGATTTCTAATTCAACAAAGATGTTGTACTGCTTTTCACAGTGGACCAGGCTGCCAACTTTGAGTCAAAGCGGGTTCACATAGATAACCTGTTCAGAATGGTGTCATACTGCGAAAATGTTTCAGACTGCAGGAGATGTCAGATCCTTCAGTATTTTGGTGAATGTAGTTTCTCACGTGATCGATGTGCAGCTGTTAAAGGTGCTGTGTGTGATAATTGTGAGATCAAGGTATGAATTTTACTGTTGTCACATATGATTTTCCTTATAGTATATTTTGTCAGAGAATAAATTGTCAGATCATGGTATGATTCCCTTCTAGTGCATTTTATCAGGTAGGTACAATTTCCTTATTGTGTATTTTTTGAAGGAAAGTATTGTGAGGTCAAGATATGATATCCCCTCTAGTGTAATTTATCAGAACATTCTACCTCATAACAAACAGTTGTATCCTTATAATACTAATATTATTCTAGTTATTCTCTAGTTTTTTTCTTTGTTTTTGGAGAACAAAGAGTAGATCCACTACCCCCAACAAGCATGCCTGGTGGTCATAAACTGTTATCCTAATGATCTACACTAAAGTAGTATTATCTTAGAGAGTCCTGAACAATAGTAATTTATTTGTTCATAGAGGTCTTAAGTGCTTGTGTAGTTATCCAAAGTAAAGTAATGGCCCCTTTGCACGCCTACTGGGTTATTAGGCATATAGGGCTACATCTGAATTTTGTAGGCCAGTCGGCACTTATTGGGTTCGTTAATTAGTTATTTGACAGATTATCCTTTTTGCACATCAGACCATTCAGTCCATAAGTGCTCAAATCCCCTCCTTAGTAAATCATGTAGCATGCATCGACTGGCGACAACATTTCTGTGTTGGTTTCCCTTTTAACATGTATTTCTTACAGTCTGTTCATGGTTGTAGATTCACAGTCATCACTTGATTCTCCCAAACTTACTTCTTGTAGAGCATTCAGAATGTCTGCCTGGTCCATGGCTCGTCATCCCTCCACAGTAGCTTTACCTGCAAGCCTATCAGTTTGCTCATTTCCTTGCACGCTTGCGTGCCCTCGCACAAATATGTGTCAGCCCTGACCACTTTAGAGACTCCAACTACTGTCTTCAGACCCAGCCCACTCATCTCTGTTTTCCTGAGCATACTCACTGAGTCGCTGAGAAAGTGTGTGCGGGAAAAAGTAAGTCTCCAGCCATGTGATTGCTGTGGTCACACTGCCATAACCTCAGTAGTCAAACTACTTGTGGTCAAGGCAACAGCACCAGACTCTTGCTTCACAATTCTAACTTCAATCTGGGCCGTTAGAACCCATGAGCTTCTCATGCAGCTAATCACAAACCCATCTGTGTAAATGACAGCATCCCCTTTTAGAGAATTCTCGAAAATCAAAGCCGTACTTCTGCCTCAACAGCAGCCTGACTTTGCTCTCTGCACTTTCTGTCTAGTTGGATGCAAACAGAAAAGGTTGTACAGCTCTCTGTTGGTACTTGTACCCATTCCTCACCAGGTTCTATGTCCTTGAGTAAACACACCTGCTGAATAATTTCCACAGTCTGACCCATCCACGATTTTCCTCGTTTTTTTTTTAACCTGCTGGCTTTTTTCTTCTTAATCTCACTATGCAGCGGGTGTCATGTGTCTGCCTAGACTCTCTGAGGTAGGCACATGCTCAGCAGATTTGAATTCTGTCCTCCAGATTAAAACTATCCATCTTTTACATGAAAATGACCTGGTCATGAAAAACCACAACTGTCCGCTGCCTTTGTTGACTGGAAGCCTCCTCACTGGGTGATGTCATCAGGATCATGCTGGCCACCTATACTTCACAAAACTTTACCTGGTACCCCCATTTAAGTCTGGGTCAGCGTGGGAGCCAAGGTCATTTTTGAAAAATAGTCGGCTCTAAGGACTTGAACCCATGACCTTCGGATCTGCAGACGAGTGTCTAGCTGCTACAGCGTGGAGACTGCCAGTTATCCAAAGGGTTTTATCTGTTGGTGTTGTGATCCAGAATTGATACTGTGCTGTATTTTTATCCTGGGCCCCTTAATTTTTTTAATTTTAATAATCCAACACTAGTATTTTTATCCCAGATGTGCTATAATTGTTTTTTTATAGTGTTGGCAGTAGTATTTATGTAATGGGCTCTAACTATAGAGGAACGGAAAATAGTTTCAATTCTGGTCTTCCTGCGCAACAGTGAAGACTAGGAGAGAGAAAAATGGATCTGCAACAAGGAAAGTGTATCAACCTCACAGCTGCACATTATAACTTATAAGGGGTTAAAGTTAAGTTAGTTCCATATCTTTGCAAGACATTGCAGAACCAACCCCAGCATTTTTTCTTGCTGTTGTGGTATTTCTAGGCAAATTTACATCCAGTAGTTTGCCATTGCTTTCTAGATGCTGGGATCAAACGCAGCGTCTAAGCCACAGAGGGTTGAAGACAACAAAATAATTTGTAGTTTTCGTAATTTTTGTTTCAACTGTTTGCTGGTCTATTAAAGTGATTATTATGTTGTTTTTGTAGGATTCGTTCAGTGTTCGAGATGTGTCTGCAGAAGCTAAGGAAATTGTTAAGTGTGTTAAAGAGTTGAATGCTAGAGGCAATGGCAACTACACACTTATTCACATCTTGGAGATATTTAAAGGTAATCAGAAATGTGTTTATGAATTAACATTCTGTAAGAGAAGTGAAACTCCCGTAAAACTGACTTCCAAATATTTTTTAAGCAGTTTGCTATTTATGTTACATTAGTCATATTGTGTATTGTGATGCATGGGCAACATATGGCCTCTTTAACAGTTTGCTGCTTATGTTAAAGTAGACATAATTTGACTTCTATATAAATGACCAAATATTTTGGTCATATCAAGCGTCACAACGGATTGGAAAAAATAATAGCAGTAGGGAAGGAGGGGTGGGGCAGTGGCCGACCAACACGAAGATGGACACATGCTATAAGTGACTCATTGAGTATGAAAGTACATGAGGTGGGAGAGCTGGCGAGAGACCGAGTTTCTTTCAGGCAGACTGTGATGAGAGCGATGTTCTGCAAAGGACCTGCTACATGATGATGAGTCATAATTTATCTCCTGATGCATGGACAACAAATGGTCTCTTTAACAGTTTACTATTTATGTTTTAGTAGTCATAATTTATGTCCTGATGCATGGACAACATATGTTCTCTTTAACAGTTTACTATTTATGTTTTAGTAGTCATAATTTATGTCCTGATGCATGGACAACAAATGGTCTCTGCAATACTATCCAGGCTTTTTGCTGTGGAGCAGAACTACATCCCTGGCCTTATATGGTCTCATAAATAAATTGAGAGGCAGCAGTTATGGTTTATAAGTCCCTGTCATTTGGCATAGATTAGGGCACCATGGTTGCCTGTGGGGGGGGGGGGGGGGGAGACACCTTTTTAATATCACTGATGTCGGGGCTGGCCTCTACTAAGATATAAATATGTGTGCAAACGACGTATGAATGGTACAGATATTTAGTTAGATTTGTAGGAACAAAATGCCATGGACCATGTTGCGTGGAGGGGGGCATACATACGATTACATACAGTAACAGCAGTCCGGACGGATCTCTCTAGTCACACTCACCATCGCCGTGGTCTGTGAGTCCCATGTGTCCTCATAGCACAATGTAACACTATCATCGGAAAAAGTGCTAACATGAGTCATATTGTGTATGAGGGAAAAAAAAACAAGTTTAAAAATGTATTTTGACAAGTTGGGCATGGAGACCCATCTTGAATATTTTCAGCTCTGCAAACCACTCATCTTTCACACAGTTATTATTCTGTCCCCATATTTTGCATGTTCAATTCATTTAACATTTTAAAAAAATGTAACGTTCAGTAGTTAACAAGTTGGGGGAAAAGGGTGGGGGGAAGTGGGATTAACTATTTCTGAACATATAAATAATAATTCAGTATAATCAGCTTTTTTTATTTTTGTGGTAATACTGTTACAGAATCTCTCATTGATAGCCTTGCTTCATTAATTCTTTCTGTCTCGAGCAACGCATGGCGTGTGCTCAGCTATATCTGTATGTATCAATGCATTACATGGTGTGTTGTTATTATTAACTCATATTTGGTCTGTGTATGCAAAATAAATCTGGTCAAATATTTCAAAACCAGTGCAGTATATGCTGTTTCTTTATAAGTCATACACTGATGCCTTTTTCACTGATTTTTTTGCCAAATTGGGTTTCTGTTCAAAACCATTTGTGTCTGAAAGAGTTCAAGAGTTTTTGATGCCAAAGGGATTGGTTGTTTTGCTAATAAACCAATGTTTTAATTTTAACAGGCTCCAATAACACAAAGATTCAGACCTTAGGTCATTCAAAGCTGGCATTACACTCTCGGGGTAAAGACTGGGCAAGGAATGATGCGGAGAGGTTGTGTCGCAAGCTGGTCATTGATGGCATTCTCAAAGAAGAGCTGCAGATTACTGCCCAGGACCATACAGTGTGTTATGTGCGCCTGGGACCACATGCAGTAGAGTTAATGCAGAACAAGCTAAAGGCAAGCACGGTTGACACTTTTCTTTTTGGAGTTTGTATTGTTTAAGAATTATGTTATTCTGACATTGTGCAATGTTGAGAAGTTAACTCCCAGTCTCTCCGTCTTTCCTTTCTAATAATGAAGGTCCACTGTAATGGATCTTCAGCTTGCTTTGTTTTTCCCTGTATGTGTCCTCTCCTACTGCTATTCTTCCCTTCCACTATATTGTCTGCCTCATGTTGGCTCGCCTTCTTTTCCATCCAGTGTGGTTTTTAATAAAAGTGTTGTCTTTTAATATTGCCAAAATATATCACCTGTCTCTTTTTTAATTCTCTTCAGTAGCTCTTTTTTTCATTCCAGTTTTGTTCATAAGCTTTCTTTTCCAAACAGTTCAAATGTATGAGGCTGAATCAGCTGTAGAAGCATACAGTGTGGGGGGAAAGTATGCTCCCAAACAGGTTCCATCTCCGTCCTCCGTAGCCAATGAAGAATCGACATGCTAATAGTCACAGCCGTAACCTGATTAAGAGTTCGCCTATGTTCCTCTCCTGCACTGTTCAGTTGATCCTAAAGAGCCTTCGCCACATCTGCTTTGTTATAAAGTAGCTCACCAACCAGAGCAGCGACAGCAGCCAAACTATCAGACTGCTCATTAACTCGCACACCCCAATATCCTGGGCAGAAAATCTGTCCACATGCAGCTAAGAAGGCAGATATTATGTACTACATTAAAACAGACATCAAACAGCTTTCTCGTGGTGGACACAAGATTTCAACACTAATGGCACAAAAATTCTTGAAATGGTAAAGTTGGCAAGAGACTGAGTGGCTTTTCTTATCATAATTTCACCTTGTGGGTTCCAGGGGTCTGTTTTTGGAGAACAAAGAGTAGATCCACTACCCCCAACAAGCATGTCATAGGAGGCAACCAGTCAGGGGTATTTCCTTCAGAGTCAGATTGCATCTGCCTGAGTGGCAATGAATCAACAGTCTATATAAAATTAAGCCAGATCTGTAAAACGGATGTTCATGAAAACTCAAGTTCTGGATCAAGACCAAAGTCCAGGAGTGGATGAACAACCAGAAATTTCGGCCAGAGCTTACAGTTGACGAGCACCAAGAAAAAGGAAGAAGAAATATTGTGATAATAGGAATTTGCAGAGAGGATCTGTTTACAGGATTGTAATGATTCACAGTATGAAAAATTAAAACAGATTTTCTTATAGTCCATTCTATGTGGCATTGGTAGTCATGTCTGTCCACAGAGAACATTGGGTGAGGAAAGGAGTGGGCCAGAGGAAAAGTAACAGTTGATTCACGACCATTCTTTGCCCAGATGATCTGGTTATCTATACAGATGGTTTGGTTTTGAAAGGGAAGAAAAGTGCCTTGAGGTTCGTAGCGCAAGCCAATGGAAAATCTTTAGTGCAGGACAGCTTAGCATACGATACCACCACGTCTAGCATGAGAATGGAGGTGGAGGCAGTAACTGCAGCTTTCCGGTGGCTAGAGAACAAGATGCATACACATGTCATAATTGTTACAGACTCTGTTAACAAATTTGAATTGAAGACATTCAATGGCATGTTTTAGATGAGTTACAGTGAATTCGTTTGAATTTTTTATAGGTTGAATTGCCAATTCAGGGAGGCAAGAAAAGAAGTGATGTAGCTAAAGTGGGAACGGAACCTAAAAATAACAGAGAGAAAATAGAGTTGGAATGCTTGGCAGAACTGAGAGTGATGGCAAAAACTATAGGTACAGTTTATGTATTGTAAGAGTTTTAATGCATGTACAATTCTTCGGGTGTTAGTGTGAGAACTGGACACTGATTAACACTAACACCCCCCTCCCCCACACACACACACACACAATATTGTCCTTTCCCAGAAACTTCTCATGAGTCTGTGAGATGAGGTGAAATAAAATAATAAAAGAACCAAATTCTCTGCCCCTCATCACCTACATCCCACTTGTTTTTAGATTTTTTTTTCATATTTGTTCTTCCTGTCCCTATTTTCAAAAAGTCCATTTTGTGTGACCTTCTCAGTTTTTTCATATGGTTTATGATTCACGTTTTATTTGCTGATGAAGACTGGTCAGAACATTTAGTTGTATTTGTGGGCATCTTTTCCCCATAAGCCTCAGTGTTGGAGGTCACATATTCACAGCTTGAGTCACATGATAACTGTTTTTTAAGGCCCCATAGAATGTATTCAATTTAACGCTTTACAGAGTTTGTGTTATTGATTCTTCCTTAATATATTTTTAAAAATGAGGGGGGGGGGGGGGGGGGGGGGGGGGGGTGTAGATCACTAAATTTTTTGCAAATTCAGTAGTAACCTATGTTTTATGGTATGGATTTCTACACAGTCATGACCCATTGTTTTAGTGTTCCTGGGGTGATAAGGTTAAATTCAATTTCAGATGAATAATTTCTGCTTCTTTCTCTTTGTATCATACAGCTTCAGAACATGGTGTTAAAAACTATGCCCTGATCTTCCCCGAGAGTGCCCTGAAGCAGCTGGCCCAGTGCACGCCTATCACCAGGGAGGAGATGATTGAGCAGATTGATCACTTCAATGCCACCATCATCGACAAGTACCAGGCACACCGGCTACTGGACATTACCCTCAAATATAGTATGGAGTATGCTGGTAGGTGCCTGTATTACATTGTTTTAAAAGGCAACAAACCCTGAGATTTACCACTTGTTTTCTGAGTAAACTTTTACAGTGCCTTCTTTTTCTTCTGCTTCTGGGTTTTCCCTTAAACTGGTGGTTGTTGTGTTGTGGTTCACAGGTAGGCTGCAGTATTTGGGGCCTTTAGAACCAACACATTTCAGCAAACACCTAAAAATTTGCCTTTTATGACATGCTTGGGATAAGACTCGGTGCAGTGAAGTCAATTTATATCTCCTGTAAACTTTTATCTCTCTATCTAGAATTTCAGGCACTAGACTTCTTAGCTTTGACTTGAAAACCATTAAATGATTTGGCTGTGCATCGCTGAGTTATTGTGCATGAAATATTTAATGAGATAAAGGAAAACATGCTTTAGAAGGCTATCCTCCGAATAACAAGCACAAAAGATGGCGGCCAAAAACAAGGCCTCAGTCACGTGTCAATTGCGCACTTCTGGCGACCTAATTTGCAGTTTTCGGCGACTACTGCCACCGCTGAGAGTATCCCCCATGCCGCTAAACATGGGGGATACTCTCAGCGGTGGCGGTAGTCACCGGAAGTGCACAGTTGACATGTGACTGAGGTTCTGTTAGGGTGTTTTTGCGGCCGCCATCTTTTGTGCCCGTTATTCGGAGGATAGCCCTTTAGAAATATTCAAGAATAAATAAAATAATTTGGCTAGGCATCACTGAATTATTAAATATGAATTATTGAATGAGATAAAGACAGAAAAAAGCGTGCTTTAGGAATATTCAAGAAAAAGAACTAAAGTATAAATGGGTAAAGTGTTACTCAGTGCATCACTGACTTGGTAGTTTGTCACATGTTTATTGTTTAATCCATTGCTGAGACAGATATCTGAAGAAAATGTATGATTTAAATAAGTGTATAGTAATTTTACTCAATAGTTTGCTGATGACAACCGTGTTGTATGTGAATTATTAAATGAAATTAAAAAATAAAGAAAGAAAAAACGTGCTTTTGAAATATTCAAGAATAAAAAGAGGTGAAGTATATTCAGGTAAAGCCTTACTCAGTGCATCACTGACTCAGTAGTATTTGACATTTTATTGTTTGCTGAGATAGACTTCTGAGGATATTCAGGGTTTGAGTAAGTGTACAGTTAATTGACTCAACAGTTGACTAATTATAACCATGGTGTGCAAGAATTTTCAAATGAGATAAACAAAATGCTTGGGCTATGTGTCATTGAATTATTGCACATGAATTAATGAATGACATGAAGAAAATACAGGCATTAGGAATATTGAAGACTAAATAGAACCTTCCTCGGTGAGTGACAAGTTTAGCATTTTGGTTTGTCTGTAAAGTACAAGTAATCCTTATTCAGTTAATGCCATCATCGGGTTTTATAGTGTTAGACTTTTACATATAGTATGTCATAATTCATCTATATTCTGCGTCTAGAAAAGAAAAACAATTAGCTTTGGCTGTTATAGTAACATTTCAGTCACTGCCCACAATACATGCACAGAAACACAGAAAAGGGTGGGGTATCTATACCAGACGTGGAAGCACCTTATTTAGGAGTGTATAGATTTATGTGAAGTGATTTGTAGGAGCTCCCGCATGTCATTTAGAGGGGTATACATTTAAGTGCGGTCATTGTCTGATGTGGGTACACCCACATGTCATTTAGAGGTATAGATTTCAGTGAGGTAATGTCTGATTCTGGGAACACCCAGATGTCATTTAGGGAAGGAAAGATTTAAATGAGGTAAAGTCTGACATAATAGAATCGGAAATTGTCTGACCATGAAGTTATTGTAGAGTTGTATCACCTCAGACCTTGAAATCGACGAAGAAGAGACAAAAAACAATGGAGACGGCGGTCAGTTTACACCTGAAGGGGAGTTGGCTTCCCATTATTTTGAAGAGTCTTCATCTGGAGGAAGAGGAAGAAGAAATGGCAGAGGAAGAGGTGGAAGAAAACGTTTCACATCTAAAGGCAGAGGAGGCTTTGTGGTATGTTTACATGTTAACATTTTTCCGAGTCAAGATTGATAGAGATGTGCTTTATTGGCATTCATTTTCTACTTTAGATGTGCAGGGTTAACTTTATTGACATTCATTTTCTACTTTGTATGTCTTCAGATGTAATTCAGTGCAGATACTAAATCATATTGAAGCTGCCTTGGTGTAGCAGCTAGATGCTTTTAAATGACCTTGGCTCCCAGCTCAGCCCAGCTTTAAATGGGTACCAGGTAGTCCTAGGAAATAAAGTTGGCCAGTGTCTTGTTGACCACATCATCCACTGAGTCCGAATTAGTCGGCAAAATATAGGTCTAACCCTAAATGCCCAATACGCCTGAAGGCGTGGAAAAGGGTCATTTACTCTTTTTAAAATTTTTTTGTACATCATTTTTACTTCTGTCTTTCCATCAAATAAATAGCCTTGTCAGTTTGGCTTTTGCAGTTTGGATTCTGCCTAATCTGTATCACATCTAGACAATTTAAGTCATGTCAGTGAAGTAGTTTAAACAAGCTTCATTTATACTGTTTATTCCTCTTTTGAAAGTATGTTTATTATGTATGTTTCTCTCCTCCTCATATCTCTCTGTCTCTTTCTGTCTGTCTGTCTGTCTGTCTGTCTGTCTGTCTGTCTGTCTGTCTCTGTCTCTCTCTCTCTCTCTCTCTCTCTCTCTCTCTCTCTCTCTCTCTCTCTCTCTCTCTCTCTCTCTCTCTCTCTCTCTCTCTCTCTCTCTCTCTCCTCTCTCTCTCTCTCTCTCTCTCTCTCTCTCTCTCTCTCTCTCTCTCTCTCTCTCTCTCTCTCTCTCTCTCTCTCTCTCTCTCTCTCTCTCTCTCTCTCTCTCTCTCTCTCTCTCTCACACCATTACTTTCCCTCACCACAACAAACTATCATTACTTTCATTCTCTTTTATCCCTCTGTTACCCCCTCCTCACACATACCTATCACTATCTTCTGCCCATTATTGTTTAGTGGAGCCACCAATTCATGCCCTGTCTGTATTATCTGACTTATTCACAGATAGTTGTTTTCCCATGTGGATTCCAGGGCCCCATTCTGGAGTGCGGCGGGGGGATATCTCTACTGCCCTTGATAAGCATATTATAATAAGTGGCTAATCAGGTGTGTTTCCTTCGAAGTTGGATTACATATGCCTGAGAGGCAAGGAACCCACAGTCTGCATTCAGATAAGCCAGCTCTGTAAAAGTAATATGCATGCAAAACTCAAGTTCTAGAACAAGACTAAAGTCCAGAAGTGGACGAATAACCAGAACTTTCTCTCGGAGTTTACAGCCAGTTAACGCTAAGTTAAAGAAGAAGATAGTTGGCTGACGTTTTGTGGCTATAGTATTTTACAAGATGAGGTAGCCAGTACCAGCCCTTTAAACTTAATCTATCTGCATGTAACCTTCCTTGTATAAGAAAGTGGATGCTCATGTATTGCTAAATTTGCTGGGTCGTGCTATCAACTTGTTGACTGTTTCAGAAAGGTAAAAAGAGCAGGAAGACTTGGAAGAATAATGCAAAGTCTGGCCAGACAAAGAAACAAGACAAGTATGTAGAGATTTCATTGTTTATGAAAATATCCAACATATTTACATTATTTTATTGCACATACTGTGCTGCCGTGCCACAGTACCTAGACCTCAGCTGCAGATCTGAAGGTCACATGTTCAAATGAGAACACATTTTTAAAAAATTTACTTTAGCTCCTAGATCAACCCAGCCTTAAATGGGTACCAGGTAAAGTCCTGGGCAGAAAGGTGCCCGATGGGATGTTGACAAAATCGCCCTCTGAGTGATGATTCGTCTGTAAATAATAGGTCTAGCACTATGTGCTCAATATGCTTAAGGCATTGGTCAATCCAAAGAAGGTAACAGTGGTTCTCTTTGGATAACCATATTTGTTAAACCCCAACGCCCACTGTTAATCTGTGCTCAATTATGGAAAGAACACAGGCATTAAAGTACCTGGTGATACGATTTGATCACAGCTTGGCGTATACTAAGCACATAGACCAGGTGATAATAAAAGCCTAGTGGGACATGGCTGTGATAAAAGTGATGGCAACAGCAAACTGTGAGCAGCTTCATTTATGTCTTTCATATCAGGGTCTGATCATTTCTGTCTTTGAGAATGCGATCCTGACTCTCAGCCATAAGCAGATGGAGAGGATGGAAAGGATACAGAATGAGGCTATGGGTATTATACTTGGATGTACAAGAGATAAGCTTGCAGGGCGATGCATTACCTTCTTAATTTTCCAACCGTGGAGGACAGAATTCTAATTTGCTGAGCAGGTGCCTACTTCAGAGTCAGCGGAGACATGTGACACCAGCTGCATTGCGAAATTAACTCTTTCTGAGTCCCAGTTGTTTTAGCATCACAGGCCCAATGGGTAGTAAATAGAGACTAAAATCGACACACCATGCGTTCATTAGGCTTCTAGGTAAGAATCTATGAATGTATGATGCGTTCCCTGGGACTCAAAGAGTTAAGAAGAGGACAGTCGTGGATGAGCCACGCCGAGAACATTATTTAGCAGGTGTTCACTGGAGGACATAGGACCTGGTGAGGAATGGGTACAAGTACCAACAGTGTGTGGCACGACCTTTTCTGTTTGCTTCCATCTAGACAGAAAATGCAGATTAAAAAATGTCCAGCCGCTGTTGAGGCAGAAGTGCAGGCTTTGATTTTCGAGACTTCTCTACAGGGGGATGTTGTAATTTACACAGATGGGTCTGTAATTCAACTTGTGAAAAGTGTTTGGGTTTTTACTGCTCAGGCTGGAGTTAAAATTATGAAGCACGATTCTGGTGCTGTTGCCTTGACAGCAAGTAGTCTGATTATGAAGGTCATGGCAGTGACCAATTCAGTAACATGGCTGGAGACACAGACCTTTCCCCACGCATGCTTTCTCAGTGACTCAATGAGCATGCTCAGAAAGATAGAGAAGGGCTGGATCCAGAGACAGATGTTAGAGTCTCTAAAGCAGTCGGGGCTGACACACATCAGTTTCATATTTGTGCCAGGGCATGCAGGAGTGCAAGGAAATGAGCAAGCTGATCAGCTTGCAGGTAAAGCTAATGTGGAGGGTAGATGAGCCATGGACCATACTGATATTCTGAATGCCATACGAGAAGTTAGATGTTTGTGAGAACCAAGTGATGACGGTGAATCTACAGCAATGACTAGACTCCAAAAACAACATGTTCAAAAAGGTTTGGCAAGACAAGAGCACTATGCAGGAAGCCAGTGAAGAATAAGAAACCAACACAGAACTGGTGATGTGAGCCACTACACGCTGTGGGATTTACTTAGCTGGTGAATGAACCGTTAGACTCCGTACCCAGAAATGCGGAAACTGCATCAGCAAACTGAGGTCAGATATTCGACTGGATGGTTTTTTTCAGTTATAGGAGTCTGTAATCAGCACTAACTCTAATTTTATGCTTACATATTTTTCATCAGTGTTCTAAAAGTGAATAAAACTGTGGTTTAAATAACTAAAGATATTACGTTTGGGGCTTTATTCAAATTAACAAGTATTGAATGAAAACAAGGTGTAAAACATAAATATTGAACATAAATATCATCTTACTGGCAAGTCTTGGTGTGCTAAATTATTTACTGCTGTTAATAAAAATGGGTCTAGATGCCAAACCAATCAAGCCTAAAATGGGTATGAGAAGATGTTCTGGGAAGTAAAGGCAGTCAGTATAATATTGGCATAACCCTCTAGGAGGAGGAGGAGAGATAGGTCAATATTGACAGCTGTTGACATCATTTTTACTTTCTCAGTCAATGTTTGACATACCAGACATTGGGTTCGTCTAGGTAAGTGAACTCTGTGTATTTTGTAACACTATAACTCTTTTTCAATATACCATTAATGGAATAAATGTATATTTTGAACAGCTTTTCCTCATTTGCCCCATACAAGCCCAACAAAACTGCTGCAAACTATACAACTGCTGCTCCTTCAGCTACCAAGAAACCTGCCACCGTAACAAAAGCCTCGCTGGGTTTGATGCCTGATCCCAGGGCTCGCTCGTTCCTGTCCTCCATGCCACCCGCTGGCAGAGGCAGTTTTGCTTAAGAACATCTTCACATATGGTTTTAGTTTTTAATTCAGCGTGGTACACTTATTTAGCACATTTTAATGTACCCATTTGTTCCTGTATTTGTCATCTTCTTTCTTTGATTCTTAATGTGGCATTGGCATACTTTATTTGGCCCATTTTAATATTCCCATTTTTCCCTGTAAATTTATCGTCTGCCTTAGTTTTTTTAACTAGAATTTTAATTCTAGAATTTGTCTCTCTGCTAAACATTGTTGAAATTTGTCATGACTTTCAGATTAAGACATAGTGGTAATTACTATTTAAAAAAAAAAAAGAAAATTTAAAAAGCCAAAATATCTATGCAAAGGATAAAACCATTAATAATTTCTCCGTTCTGGCTAAATAATAATAGAAAATATGAAACTGAACTAAGATCACTGATTGCAGTAGCTGTGTTTTGAGAAGAACAGAACATTTTAAAAGAACTACAAGTTTTTTAGATATGGTGTTAGCGCAGAATGCAAAGAGTAAACTGGAAAGAAAGGAGATCAAATGAAGTATATGTCTGGCAAACTATTTAGCATCATGCAAAAAGGGCAGTCTTGAGCTGGTGACAATATTTGACATAGGGCTCTGTTACAGAAAATACTGGATGGATGATCAGGTCCAGGGAAAGGAAAAAGAGAATGTTCTAGTAAAAACGTTTATCAGACAAGCGTGCGAGAACCTGGCGGTATGGACTTAGATGGAGTTACTGAGAATAGAATGCAGGAGGGACAGACTGCTTCAGGTTACCAGTCTTCAGAATAATAGACCTAAAAATGAATGGTCCCTTGATCTGTTCAACTGCATTTTTTTTAAGGAAATTAGTTGATTTTTGTAGTTATTTTTCATTGAGTTCATATCATGTAATAAACTAGTTTGTTATATTAATCATTAAGTCGCTATTAAATATGAATTGTATAATATATATTGTCCAGTTGTCAGTTATTTTCTTGGTATTTCTTATTAATGTTGTGTAACACAGTGTTCACCGCCAATGTGGTTTCGGCCGGTGGCCTTTCTTAAACAAGTAATGAACTACACCATTTTGTATGTATTTGGGTATAGTTCATTACTTCTTCGAGAAAGGCCACTGGTGGACAAAGTGTTTTATGCAAATTTTACTGTTTCCCAGTTTCATGAAGCTTTTTAGTCGCATTTCACTGGAATTTCTCATACGACATGCTTGCTGGGGGACGGTGCGTTTATTTCTCTCTCTCCAAAATGGTGTCCCTAGAAACCACACAGGAAATGTGAGGGTGTGCGTAACAACGAAGCTGTGGACCGGACTAAGTTTACAGTGACAGTCTAGGGACTAAGTTTACAGTGACGTTCTGGGGACTAAGTTTACAGTGACGGTCTGGGGACTAAGTTTACAGTGAGGGTCTGGGTACTAAGTTTGCAGTGGCGGTCTGGGGACTACGTTCACAGTGACGGTCTGGGGACTAAGTTCACAGTGACGGTCTGGGGACTAAGTTTACAGTGACGGTCTGGGGACTAAGTTTGCAGTGACGGTCTGGGGACTAAGTTTACAGTGGTGGTCTGGAGACTAAGTTTACAGTGGTGGTCTGGGGACTAAGTTTACAGTGGTGGTCTGGGGACTAAGTTTACAGTGGCGGTCTGGGGACTAAGTATACAGTGGCGGTCTGGGGACTAAGTTTACAGTGGCGGTCTGGGGACTAAGTTTACAGTGACGGTCTGGGGACTAAGTTTACAGTGGCGGTCTGGGGACTAAGTTTACAGTGGCGGTCTGGGGACTAAGTTTACAGTGACAGTCTGTGGGTGGATGTGCTGCCACAGAGAAAACATGAAAAGAGGGATGCAGGTGCCTCAGTGCATGCTATATTCATCAAACACAATTGCTATGTGAAAGATGAGTGTTAGGAAGGGCTGAATGTAAGACTAGTTTGCAGGCCCACTTTGTGATCCTTTGAAAATAGTTTCTTCTTTCATTCTAAGTTTACCACCAAGTAGTGCAGAACCACTCACTCTGTCTGCCTGTTTGTTTCCCAACACATCTGAATTAAATCAAAAGATATATCACTCGTGCAATTCATCATCATCATCAATTGTCTTGCCGACTGGCGTGGGTGATCATGTGTATCAATTCATCCTCTGTCTCTCCAGAAATCTTTCCTGTGGCCACAACATGTTCCATTTTCCCTCTTCTCATAACATGACCAAAAAATGATGACTGTCTCTTTCTGATGTTTGTGATAAGTTGTCTTTGAGCATTTTCCTTTTTCAAAACATCTGGGTTGCTCTTCTTAGCTGACCAAGGACTCTTCTGTAAAAACACACCTCTGAGGCCTCAAGATTTTGTTTGGCTTGTTTATTAAGTTTCCAGGCTTCACAGCCGAATGTTAAAACTGGCTCTATAGAGCATGCAAGAATTTGTTTGCTAACCTTCAATGATGTGGATTTATTCCACAAAATGTTCTTCATTTTGTAAAATAGTTTTGACCTGCCCTATTCTGTTCTGTTCTAGATATTTAAATTGTTAAATTTCTTTACCTGTCCTAAAAAAAACGCCTTTGACTGTTATTATATATTTAGTCAATATTTTCTTGAAAATCACCATTACTTTTGTATTTCCGTAATTCAAACTAAGGCCCATTTTATCACTTTCTACCACCATCGTGTCTGTCATTTCCTTTACTTCTATGCATAATACATAGGGGGAAAATAAACAAATTCCAGTGAATCACCAGAGGGGAGAATGCAGATGGAAACTAAAACAACCTCATCCGTAACTACAGCTTGGCCTGATTTCTGCTTGTGAAGCGTGGTCTTGCTCTTGCGCTACTATATTTGAAGAGACAATATATTCAGCGGCGTATTGGAAGACATGGGAATAACAACACATGGAGATGGTGAGTGCAGCTATCAAGACCCACTCGCATTAAGAAAAATCTTCCGTAATTAAGTTATGGGATTTCAGGGTCACCATTGCCTTCGAGAGTATTGAATGTGCTTGTTCTCTGACGCTGTGCTCTTCTAACTCTACCTACAGTCATTTTCTCCTTTATCCCTGCGGTAATTATAATGTTGTTTGTTAATCCCCCTGAGATATCTCCACCTTCCTGAAATGGGGGAGCTCGAGTTTATTTTTTGAGTTTTCTTCTTCTTCGCGTTCACCAGCTGTACACTGGCGTAAAGTTCTGCTTGTTCGTCCACTTCTGGACTGCAGTCCTGTTCCGGAACCTGAGTGTTGCATGTGCATCAGTTTTACAGATCTGATTCAATTGAATGCAGACTGCTGGTTCCTTGCCTCTCAGGCAGATGCACTCAGACTTCTAAGGAAGCTTCCCAGTTAGTCGACTCTTACGACATGCTTTTGGGGAGGCAGTGGGTCTATTCTTGTTTTCCCCCACAATAGCACCCCGGAACCCACACGGGGGTTTTTGAGTTATGATTTGGGTTATCTTCATGGCACTCCTGACACGTCCATAGGTGCTCAAAGTCCCCCTTTAACGAATACATCAGCATCCCGCGGTTGATAGTCCCAGTCCTATGATGGTGACAAGACTTCTCGTGCGTCCGGTGTGCTTCTCGTGCCTGGCTGTGCCGATTTTTATTCCCGATTCTTACACTCTTAGCAAAGATGTGGAAGTGCTGCTCCCAAGATCCTCCTATGCCTCTCTAGTGACGTTAACAATGTCGGCATGATCCATGGGAGCTTCTGGATGCTGATGGTAGCATCCCAACAGGGCGTCACCAAACCGGATAGGTCAATGGGCAGAGAACAAAGAGAGACAACCTTGTCCTACATGTTGAAAGTTGAAGCCTTATGCCGCAGAACAGACACATAGGCATTGGACAGTCACTGAGGTGAATGGTGGCAGATGACACCTGTAGCAGTGAACCTCGAGTGGTCGGACTGCAGAAGAAGAACTTAGCTTGTGAACCCACTTTTGTATTTCAATATGTAGCGCACTTGCCATCAAACCCGTTCAAGATAGTGCGGACCTCGCGTCATCAAACTATGTGATTTCAGCACTAGTTGTGTCGCGCTGTAACAATATGTATATCATGGGCTTTGTAACATTCGAGCCTGACGCTTTTGGCTGAGAACAACATGTCGCCAAAGCCTGGACACCGTCTAAGTTTGTTTTACCGTGCCGCTGAGGCGCACAATACAACTCCTAACCGCAATGTAAATGGGAACCTGTTCTTGGACTAACAGACTCTCCTGAAAGCTGTACTGTATATTATTTCGAGCAGTGAGAGAAGCTTATGGACTTTACTTTTGCATCTAGCTTGCCGTCGGGACCAGCTCCGTTTTTACAGGAGTGTAGTTTGAAAGACTACACGGTAGAGGTTATGGAGGGTCTGCCTTTGTCATCGGTGTCTCCCTACGATTTCATACCCTTCGATTTGTCCTCGGTGCAGCAGGGGTTTATGAGTATCTACCTCCGCGTTCTGGAAAATGTCAATACACGAAGTATTGCCGGAGCCGGAATCATAGCTGCAGCTGTTGTCTTTGGAGTGTGGAAAACCAGTGACGGGTTTAACAAGCAAGTTCTTTCTCCGGTAAAGTTAAGAGTAAAGTGTTTAGTGTATAGTTGTTTTATACTAGCTATTGACGGGTCACATCTTATCTAGATACTTTAGGCTTAAAAAGTTAGTTGCGTATCCTATACAGAACGGTGCAGAACCAACCCCAGCATTTTTGGGCTGTTGTGGTTTTCCTAGGAAACTTTACGTCCAGTAGTTTGCCATTGCTTAAGCAGTGGGTTAAGCTTAAGCCGTGTTGTAAAGATAAATTTTCACGCTCAAGATGTACTGGGCACATTGGCACCGACATAAAGAACTGGGGGTAACTGAATGTAACAACTCACTGCTCCAACCGCTTAGAAGTTATATGAGGAAGGGGGGGGGGAGGGTCCGAAGCCTTGTGGAAGTGCGTAGTTATACACACACTCGGGCACACATTTTCTTTCTAACAATACATATCTGTTTATCCATCCATTCATTCGCCCATCTCTCTGTA